CAGAACCCCTGACCCTGGGGCTATAAAATTCACAATTTTGGTAGAGGCACTCTTGCTCATCATAACTATGCACTTAGTAAGTTTATTTAATACCCAGGAGCAGAGAAGAAGATTTTCAAAGAATTCATGTATTTTTGCTATATAATCAATAGAGCCCCACCCTAACACCAGAACCCCTGACCCTGGGGCCATAAAATTCATAATTTTGGTAGAGGCACTCTTGCTCATCTTAACTATGTACTTAGATGGTTATTTAATATCCAGGAGCAGAGAAGAAGATTTTCAAAGAAATTCATGCATTTTCACTACCTACTTATTTAGCCCCACCCTAGCACTAGAACCCCGACCCCAGGGCCATGAATTTCACAATTTTGGTAGAGGACTCATTGCTGACTACAATCATGCAAACAGTTTGACTGCTTGATGTCCAGGAGTAAAGAAGAAGATTTTTAAAGATTGCACTAATTTTAGTGGTTTTGGCCCCACCCCACAGGCCCCAGGGGGGCAAGGATCATGAAATTCACAATTTTTGTTCCCCTTCACCCATAGATACTTTATGCAAAATTTGGTTGAAATTGGTTCCGTGGTTTCAGAGAAGAAGCTGAAAATGTTCAAATGTTAACGCACGACGCACACCCGCACGACGCACGACGACGGACGAAAACGGATAGCAATAGGTCACCTGAGTTTACTCAGGTGACCTAAAAATATTTAATTTTCAGCAATTTTTTTTTTTATTTACTTTTAATTTTTAGTTAAATAAACAAGCAGCAGCAGCTAACATTATCCAGTACTATATTATATGAAATCCTTAACATCAGCACCTTACAAAGTCTTTACATGTAAGTGTACTGAGAACACTTTACCCTTGCTGTTGACTCCTTTGGTAGGTTTCCTCCATGATGCTTTTCAGACTAGATGTTATGTTTTTACCTCTTTGAGAGTGTTGCTCAAACTTTGTCTTAACAGCTGACTTGGATATACAGATCTATGAACATAAACATTAGATATCAACCATACATTTTCAAAAAAAACATAAGTCTATGTATGAGTAAGAAGAATTAAACCTCTTTAACATCCACGTATAATCTTGATAAATTACACATTTCATATATCAATTCTCAGTACTAAAGTATTGGTCTTACCTCAAATGCAGTCTCAAAATTTGCAAATGCAAATGCTCTTTCTTGGTAATTTCTTTGAAGTACTCCATCTGCCAATAGAAATAAAAAAGATTTATATTTTAGGTTTTTCCAAACAAGATGAACTATCATCAACTAAAAAATAAAATGGTAAAACAAAGAAGCAAGAAATTCACAAATTTGAGTAAGTCATACTCACGTGGTGTAGGAGTTTTGTTGTCTTCGTGTAGACGAGAAATCAGCGTCTCTTTTGCTGAGACAAAGAAGATCCTGTTCTTGGCTTCCTGTCTGTCGACCACCTTCAACTGATCAGCCAGAAACTCCACATTTCTCTGATAATGTTGCTCTTTGACCTATTCAATTCAGCTGAAGCATTACTACATGCATGTATACACATTATCAAGGCATTGATTGAAAGATGAAATGTATGGGAAGAATTTTGCTTCAATGGGATTTAAATAAAAAATAAATGAATTTATTAAATTTAGAAAAACTAAACGATTGTAATTTGGCTACCCTTTATAATCTTACAAGAGTTTTACATAGACACTAGTATATCTAAATTATGAAAAACATGGAATTTTAGAAAATCTATTTAGAGCATTTTAAGACATTTCAAATCTAGGTCTATGTTTTACCTGTTCAATCTCCTCTGGATCGTCTTCTCCAACAGAAATATCCCATCTGTTCTGTAGAATAAATATGTTGGGTTTGGACAACCTTGAACTCACTTTATGGAAAAAATTCTTTTCCTGTTGGGAAAAAAATGTAATCATTAAACCAGGAAAAAGTTGAAGTTTATATACATATGGCACTCTTTACAAGAATTTTATAACAAAACTGTACTGATATTTGATTTTGATGTAATGAAGTCAATAAAACAAGGGGAAAAACACAACTAGAAATACTCTAGAATCTTTCTGCCTTCTGACTCATCTATTTGATGACTAAGCTTATTTGGTGACTTCTTATGTACAGGTAGGTCTGACAAAAGCAAACATTTTTCATATCAAATGACCATTTTAATACTTACTGTTTGCATTAGTGTTGATTCAGCATTGGCCACTAAGACAAACACATCAGCATCTAAACAATGGTTATCAATCCAGTCATCTAAATCAGGTGTCACATCAATTCCTGGGCTGTCAAGATCAAAGACAGCATTTTAAGATTAACTGTTGTAAGCATTCTTTTGTGAAAACCTTACGCATTGAACCATATATGAATATATTGTGTTTACCTGTCTAAAAAGACAACGTCCTCTCTTAGAAATTTACACTTGTCCTTTGGCCACAAGATTCTAATTAAAGAGTTTTCTTTCAGCTTAACTTTACTCAAAGCTGAGGCCAACTGTTTTATATCCTGTAAAAGACATGATGTTTTTAAAAATAAAATCATATTTGTGAAACAATTCACACCCCTTATTTTTGATCTTCTGTGACACTGTTAATAATGAAGACTGAAAAATATCCAAAGAGCACAACACAATAAATCCCTTATCTTTACGGCATATTTTATAAATAATCTTTTTACCAAAAATAATTTTTCTACATCTGAAATGTATGAAATGATTACATGGATGCTCTTTTGTTGGTCGGAGTCCTCCGTTAACAGGAATCCCTCTGAGGACTCGCAGCCCTCCACCTGGATAAAACAATGAGTGGTGTGCCCTATCCCACTCGGCATTATCTTGTTTCTCAACATAGCATTGATTGTCGTACTCTTTCCATTGGAGGTTCTAAAGATTAGATTACAGAGTTTTAAATACTATCACATATATAAATAAAGCAGATAGTATATACTGGGCATGAATATGATAACTAGTAATTATAATTCCTAACAAACACGATTTCAAAAACAGATTCATATTAGTAAACCCGGAAAGTGACAAAGCAATCAAAGTTAGATCATTTCTTATGAGTATCTTGAAATGTCATACCTTCCAAAAAACACCACTTTCATGTGGTTCCTGGTAAGTACTTCAATTATTCCGTTAATCATGTTTCCAAACTCATTAACTTGTTTTGCACTTTCACACTGGCATTTCTCAGGCAACTCTGCCAAAAAAATGAAAAAAATTGTTCTACATCTTTTTGTTATGCGTTCATAATCTGATATAAACCATTGCCTATACAAGTATAGAGTTGTCTTTGCTTGAATTTTGAGTACAATTAAATGTCAAAATACATCAAGTAAAATAGTCTAGCATTTCAAAATGAATTTACTTAATACAAGTATCACAATACATGTACAAATGTATATATACTTTTTAAAGAGTGGGACAAAACATTTTTTTTTATCAACTCTGAAGAAATCACAACAGCATGTGACGTCAGACCATACCTTTAAGAAACACTTGTGATTCCCTGACATAATCTGCAATGTCTTGGAACACATCATTGATGCTTTTCTTGGCCTCAGCAAAAAATTTCAGCGGTGACTGGGACCTTGCGTGTTTGCCATTTCCCAGACTCCTGTGGTCCTTCCTGTCCCCCTGTCCCCTCTGTGTTTCATCCATTGAATATGTTTTATCTAATTTTCCTGACATGGTACTTTAATGCATTTCTGAAAATTTAAACACAATTTTTATTGTTTTTTTTCAAAATGAAAGATTGGTAATCATGATAATGCAAATATATATTTGTAAGTTGAGGAACTCCACAGGATGTCTTCAAATCATTAAGTTCACAATTTGAGGAAATTCGAAATAATTTTAGCTGTCATATTCCACATTTCTGATTCGATATAGATTTATCAATGAAGATAAATATACTCAATGGTGAGAAATACAAAAAAAAATCTGCATTCTTTTTTACCACAATTTAAAAACACACAAGAAAATTAAAAACATCCTTGCATAACTAATAATAACAACTGAAGGACACAGACTGAAACTGAAAGCAAATTTAGTCTTCGTTTCTTACCTGTATGAAGTTAATGTCTCTGAATAGGGAATATATTAGCGTTTGATATTAAACAAGTGCTTCTTACGCTCTTTTGATAAAAAAGCATCATACATCACGCAATCCCATGCCTTTCCCAATTTTTTTTTCTGATAATGAAACCGAAAGTTCGAAAATTAACTCATACGCAGTTGCTTTATTGATGGGTTTTATTTGTCAAATTGTATGAGGCATTGATCAACTTGTTAAACATAAAACTCACTGATCTTTAGTTTTAAAATCTTTGATTTAAGAAATAAAAAAGATTAGTATCGAAGAAAAAATAAAACAAAAACAAGCAAGTTCTGAAAGCTTCATTTCTCATATTAGTGTGAACCCAATATTACAGTTAACGTCTCTTAAACGTTTAAGTTTAAAGATTTCATAACATGCAGTGGAAGATATATTTCAACGAAGAATCTACAAAACTCGACGTTCAAGCCGCAATGAAATTCAATGAATCAAGCAGATAGATAGGTAATGAAATCAAAATTAACTTTTCAGTATATGGTAATAGAGCTATATTTAGTATTGTAAATCCCTCTACGCTTTGCCACATGACATTGTGATGATCAATTAGTTGTCTTCTTTTTTTAAGTTTAAAACAACCTTATTTATTTTGATCACCCCAACACCATAAAATACAGTTGCTTTTAGTTTTACAGTGGTGGTCAAAAGGAAGAACGACCAGGGTTGCTTTGAATATCATAGAGGTTATTTTTTAAACCTTGGGGACCTCTATGTTTAATTAAGTTTATTTAGCAATAGTAGTTAATTTTGATAAAATTTTACAAGGTGTAAAAGTTATTTGGAGACACTACACGTCAAGTCAAAGAAGCAACTTAAAATTATGAGACGAGTGTTATTTATTTTACAGTATTGTACAATGTATATTTCTATTTTATCGAATTTGAATGGAAAGGAAGAAAACAAATTAATAGAATGTCCTCCCCAGAAGTGGAGAAGTTTGAGATAACAGAAGATGACCTCGCCAATGAATTTTATCCTAGAGGTGGCAGGAGACAAACAAAAAATCAGGCCATCTATGGTAAGAAGGGTACCAGTACATATATTAGTGTTGTTTCCAAAGGGCTAGATTTCGTAGTATATTGTTGTTTCCTGAAATAAAATAAAAATGGCATTTTCTTACTATATTCACTTTAATTTACATGCAGAATGTACATAACTATGATAAGTAACCAAGACGAAAAACAAAAATCTTGTTAATTTCATTTAAGTTATGCTCTGAAATGTTCCCACAAAACAACTTAGTGTTTGGCTTAATTACAAACTTTCATAAGTCCATTTTTTTATTTGATGACAAAACTCCTTAATCTAAAAATATTGCCAATATATCGATATTACAAAATCGTATTGCGATACGATATTTTTTGTCATTGTATTTCAATATATTGAAATATCGATATTATTGCCCAGCCCTATTCCTGAAATAAAATCTTGTGGGAATTCATGCCATAATAATATCTGGGTATGCACACTGTCGGACTTACTTAAGATGTTGGATCTAACCAACATTTTCTGGATGTGTGACATTCGTCTCACTTAGAAAATCTTTAAATTTATAGATACTTTTAAAGATGGCAATTGGATATAATTTATTGAGCTTACTGAAATGCCTCCAATGTGAAACGACATTTTTGATTGATTTGAAAATACACATGTAATACTATAATATTTTTAAGAATTTCAATATATCTATTCATGATCATTTGGAAATGAAATATATATTTTTTTTGAGATCAATCAATATTTGTTATCTTCACTTTTTAATTTCTAAGGAATGTGGGCCACCAGTGATGATGAGGAAGAAGCCCCTGGATTTCGGAGTGGGAGGAGGAAGAAGAAGGATTACACGATGCCCATAGGTTTTGTCAGTGGAGGAATCAAGCAGGGGTCAAAGATCAAGAAAGAGGGAGAAGAAGATGATTCTTCAGTAAGGATATTTATACATGTATCTATTAACCTGATTTTATGTCTGATAAATGAATAAGAAGATTGCTTTAGCTGATGATTTTTTTTATAGGACTCTGATAAAGAAATTCAAGTAGTACAAATGCCAGTCCAGCAATCTTCTACCAGATCAAACCGTCCTCAAGGCAGGCAGGGGAAACAGTTTGCAGGTTTTGGGAAAGGAGAAGTGTAAGTACAGTATATCACTTTTATTAAACTTGTGAGAACTTTATTTTCTTATACTAGTGCAAAACAGTTTACTTGTGAAAATTTCAATCTCTCATATATTTGTTATGGTGATTTACAGAATGATACAGAGATAGTGTAGTCAAATGTTAAAGATCCATCATTTTATTTTGAAATTCATGTATTGTGTGTTTCATCTTGTGGATAGTTCTCTCAGAGTTACAGATACATGTGTGTAAGTGTTCATGAGCATTGTATTTTGAATCTAAAAATGTTTGTTTTGCAGAGGATTTGGAGAATGGGAAAGGCACACTAAAGGTTTTGGGAAGAAGTTACTCGAAAAGGTAAATGCTAAGTACACATAGTTTGTCTACATTGAGGGTTCTCTAAAAATTTACCTCTACTGTACATGTATTTGAAGATATTTGATTTTGTTGTTGTACATGTAGATGGGTTTTAAACCTGGAGAAGGGCTGGGAAAGCATGGTCAAGGTATCACTACACCAGTGGAGGCAGTGAAGCGGAAAGGTAAAGGAGCCATTGGTGCCCATGGAACAGAGAGGTCAGAAAGGTCATTGGTCGATTTTCCCGTACACGATCCTGACGAGGAGCAAGAGAAAAAGTTTAGGGAGGAACTTTCTCAGTGGAAAAAGAAACCAGAGGTAAGGGCAGATACAACGCTTTAAGCACATATCTTCTAATGATTCCATAGTCTGATTTACAAATACTACGGTAATGTTGATAAAGTCTGTCCAGTTTTAAGACTTCAAATTTTTTTTATTAATCCTGTTCATCAGGACTTTTACTAATCAAATTGATGTTAATTTATCAGGTTGGCAAGAAGAAACCAAAGTATGTCTACAAAACAGCACAAGAAATTATTGAGTCTGGGGTAGGGAAAAAGAAAAGTGCCCCTTCCAAATCATCAAAAGTCAAGGTCATTGATATGACTGGAAAAGAAAAGAGGGTCCTGTCAGGTATGATGAGCACACATGGATATTCTATAAAAAACAATGTAAAATCAAATTCACGTTAATTTTATAAAGTACTTCCCATTTAAATACTTAGGAAATAACACTATTTAATCAGAGTTGCCCCTGCTTATATTAGTTCATGCACTGGTAAATAATTGGAATCCATTGACTTTCTATAGTCATATCCTCATTTCTGTTTGATTAAAACAATTTTATATGACATACCATGTCAGAAATCAATGCCAGTAAATGTGTCCTTGTAGGATATCATGCAATAGCAACCAGACACAACCGGCCTGATGAAGAAGAGGAGCTAATGGAAGCAGAGCCGGGGCAGAAAAAGGCGTTTGAGATGCCAGAGTTGATGCATAATCTGAACATTCTGGTGGACATGGCAGAAGAAGACATCATTACCAATGATAGGAAGTAAGACCTTCTACCTTTTAGGAAAAATTTATCTCAACAGAAATATGTATTTCATTATGTCAAGCTGAAAGTACATGTAACATTGTTTGAGGACTGATCTGGTTCAATGTTCGAAAGACAGTATTTAGAGCAAAACTAGTCATAAAAAAGTTTCAATGTTGAACTGCCATTTTACTGAGATCATGTGTGAAGCAGTTCATATCAATTGTGTGAATTTTATTTATTGATTGACTGATTACAAATGTATTGTATTAAAGGTTACGGTATGAGAAGGATCACATTGTGAACATGAAGCATGAACAAGAACGACTGGATACAATCTGTGAACAAGAGGAAGCTCAGATACAGAAACTGAAAAAAGTCCTGGATATCGTCAGAATGTTAGTATCATGGCTTCATTTACATTGTATCCACCAAAAACATCAACAGACACATCTTAAATATACATTTATCTGTTATTTAGTAGTTTCATTATAAATCATATTCTTCTTTGTAAGCAATTTATAGAAAAGTTTTTAGCTCCTCCATGTTAAATTTTGAGAGTTTGGCTAAAAAGACTAGGTTTTTATATCCTTTCTTTATATTCTTGATTTGCAGGTGTGAAGAGAGAACCCAGCCTGGATGTGACAATCCTATGGAGTTAGATGAGTGTGCTGCCATTTTTCAGTCCCTGCAGAGAGATTTCTATGAGGAGTACAAGATGTATGACCTATCCTCACTGGCTGTGGCTCTCGTCTTCCCTTTGGTCTGTTCTCATTTTATATTTGTCTATTCAATAACATGTTCTTTATGCAGTGAAGTTTTTGCCCCTCCTTATTTTCATTCCCTGACATCAGATGGCAATTCGTTAAACACAGATGGAGTTATTTATATTTAAAGTGAGTAAATGAAAAAATCTTCAAAATTTTTAGATAAATTTTAGATGAGAAAACATTTCTCAACATGGGACCCTTTAAAGGACCCTGGATTTGGACTGAACACGATTCAACAGTGGAAGGACCTGCTAGAGGATTACAATAATCAGTATGCCGGGAACTTCAGTGATATGGATGTCTTCCAGAGGCTCCTATGGGATGTGTGGCTACCTTATCTCAGAACCACCATACTGTGAGTGTAGTCAAGTTTTCTGTCCAAAAATAAATCATACTGACAAATCATTGATATACATGTACTAACCTAATGCTCGTAATTTTTCAACAAATTTCTATCAAAATGAATATTATGTTAATATTTCTTGTTTTATTTAATTTATAGAAAAATGGTTACAGATATCAATTTCATAACTTTTTGCTATCAAATTGAGTAAATACCTTGGTTTTCAGAAAGGTTAGATCAAAGTATTTTCCCCCCTAACTTTCAGCTTTGAAACAATCCCAAAGTTAAACTAGTGCACAACAAACATTAATTGGTACAGTGCAAAGGACTAACTTTGGTTAAACCATTTTATCATTATACATGTACAAATACTTAACAGTTGCCTCTTATTCATTTTTCAAATTAATTCTTTGTAGAAAGTGGAATGTAAGGGCTTGTAATCCTCTGATAGAAGTTCTGGAAACATGGCTGCCAGTTCTCCCTCCCTGGATCATGGAAAACATCCAGGATCAGTTGGTGTTACCACGGTTACTACAGGAAGTGGAAAACTGGAACCCTCTGACAGACACCATGCCCATTCATGCTTGGCTTCATCCTTGGCTGCCTCTGATGAAAGACAAATTAGAACCTTTGTATGCTCCTATAAGACACAAAATAGCCAATGCTCTCATAAACTGGCACCCTTCGGATGCCTCTGCTAAAGTTATCCTCCAGCCCTGGGTCAAGGTATTTAAGCCTGGACACTTAGAGGCTTTCCTGGTGAAGAATATTCTACCCAAGCTTGCCATGTGTATGCAAGAGTTTGTCATCAATCCACACCAACAGATTTTAGGTTAGTTATACTAGAATTAGTTTCATCCTATAATTCTGCCTTTATACTGATCAAGTTTTGCACATTGCTGAAGCTGCAGTCTCTTTCTTATTCAAGATACTTTTCAAGAAACTTCAAGTAGTTATAGAAAATATTATCACAATATGTTACAGTAATACAACATTTCTACGATAGATCATTGGGTTATGTATTAATATCTTAATACAATATTTTTATTAGAGAACCCTGGCATTGGGTTATGTATTAATTTGTGATCACTGTGTTTCCTCTACAGACCCCTGGCACTGGGTTATGTCGTGGTCAGACATTATTCCTGCTAAGTACATGGTGGACATGCTTGAGAAGACATTCTTCCCTAAGTGGAGGACCGTGCTGTGTACATGGCTCAGTAACATGCCAAACTATGACGAGATCACCAAGTGGTATCTAGGCTGGAAGTCACTGTTCTCAGAGGAATATCTTTCTCAGCCCTCTATCAGAGGTATGGTACACCAAGTTATTATACTCAAGTTCTAAGCTATAAAAGATATCCTCAAATTTTCTGAGTTTCTTGAATTTAAGACAGTATTTTCCTTTTAAAACTTAAAATTCACACCTATAATTTATGATAACCAGGTTAATATTCCTGTATTTATGTTCTGGAGAATAATTTTCCTGTATTCTTTTTTTTTATTTGTCTTCACAGATAACTTCAGCAAAGCTTTGGAAATTATGAACCGTGCAGTTTCAAGTCACATTCAGCCAGGAGTCAAGGAAAACATGGCCTATTTTGCGAACATGGAGCGTAGGCAGATGGCAGATTCCTCCATCCCCTCAACTTCTCGATCCCCACCCCGACAGACCACTGGACCAGAACCAGCTGTGAGTTTCCTTTATACTGGCAGTCTTTTCAAACTGAGTGTCTTTATTGAAATTTTAATTACATGTATCTAATACCATATAAGTGGAAATTTTAGCGAGATGCAAATTTAGCAATTTGTCCTTAAAAACTGGAATTTTATTTTTAGTGAGTTGTAATTTTAGCAATTTTAAAATGCTCTCTTAAGAATCTATTACAAATAAAACACAATTTTTAGCAATATTAAATTTTAGCGATCTCATCACCCTTGCTAATAATGCCAAAATGAAATCCTCACAAAAAATTCTGCTTATTCAGTATTAGTTCTTACACTCTTGACCTTGGTATTAAAATCTGTTTTAACAGTTGTTTTTGTGGTTTCAGTATACCCGGAGTATTACAGTGGGTTCTAACTATCAGCCAACCTTTAAAGACATTATTGAGAAAGCGGTAAGTTTTAGTATATGTGTTCTATTAACTTAAAAAACATCATATGTGCAATAACTTTATTATTACATACATGTACATGTAGTTAAAGTTTTCACTTTTACATCTCACACACAAGACATGGAATACTGAAGTCACATGTACTGAATATGAAGAAAGAAAAAATAGTCTTGATGTATAACAATATCAAATCTCAATTCTTTTTGTCAACTATTCTGTTTCAATATATCCTAATTATTTTACCAGTCCAAATAAAATTTATGGGAGAATGTAGATATCACGTTGTCTGTCTGCTCATAAATCTGGTTATAGCTTTGAAATGTAGATCATTGAATGTTCATACTAGGTACAACAATTATTTATGTCCCAAGGGTGTGATCTTGACACTGACAAGGTTTTTCAACCAAGATCAAGGTCACTGGCAGAAAAAAATATGAAATTCTAGTCAGAGCCAGCACTGTGATACAAAGATTGAATATGAAATGAGAGTGTATCTTGATTTGGACCAAAGGTTATTATAACATTTAAGGTCAATTGCAAAAAAGTATGAAATTCTTGTCAGGGGTTTAACTTTGTAATGGAGAACCATTAGAAGCTCATATTTGGTACATCGTGACCTGAGGATGTGCCATACCTTGACAAAAGGTCGTTCAGACAAGTGCTTGCTCACTGGCAGAAAATTGTAAAATTTCACAGATCAATGATTTCCTGCTTTTTGTTCAATGAGTATTTTTTTTTTACAGGCTGAAGAAAATGGTCTTTTATTCATGCCCGTGGCTGGAAAAACCCAAGAAGCTAAACAAGTGTATCGTTTTGGAAAAGTTCAAATTTACCTGGACAGAAATGTTGTATTTGTGTTTGAAAATCTGAACTGGATACCAGTTTCATTACAAAATCTCATAATGAAAGCAAAACCATAATATTGCTTAATTCATCAGTTTTGTCATCTCATTAAATTGTGTACATAAAAATACAGACCTCTTATTTTTTGTGTTTCAAAGTCAACACAGGTTAAAGTGGTACCAGATACAGCTGTAATTATTTTGATCTAATTAAAGAAGATCAGAACCATTGGGTCCAATTCATTAGAATGTAGAAGCTGAAGATAATGAACAGTGATCAATCTCAAAAAATCTATAAACAATACCAAATACAAAAAAGGACATAAAACAAAGACCCCTGGAAACTCCAGAGGCGGGATCAGGTGCCAAGGAGGAGTGAACATCCCTGTTGACAGGTTCTACCCGCCATGAGCCATGTACTGATCAGGTAGATGGAACTTTCCATACTAAGTCAACTTGTTGACAGTGAAAAAGCTGAAGTTATCTCATTTACATTTGAACTTTAATAGACTACAGCACTTTAAGACTGAGCATGGATAAAAAGTGATCCAAGTGTGGGACCTTCCTTTCATTTACATAGACAAAATAAAAAATCCCCCCCCACCCCCCCCCCCCCCCCCCAAAAAAAATAATAGTAAAACAAACATGTTTAAGTTTTATGTTTTAATTCTGAACTATTCATATTTGATTTTTGTGAACATGAACATGATGCACAATCAGTTGAACAAGAACCACCAGTCAGGGGTTCATCTTTGATAGGAACAGTTTTTCTCTGTGGTTTCTTTCTTGGGGGCTGGTATTTAGTGTTATTCACAGTCCATGGACCTAAACTGTCATTTGCATAAAAGTCCATAGGATACACATCTTGCCACTGGGCAATATTCAGGGCAACTGACATCTGCAAAGAAAAGCAAATGATCCACTGCATTTTAAGTAAATAGAAGTACATGTATCTACTATATCAATAGATAGTTTTGACACACAAAAAAGGAAATAAAATGTATACATGTATTGCTTAAACACACAATTATACCCAGAAAAGAAAATATTTTCATTTTCAAAAATGTTATAAGATCTTCCAAAAAGTTCAATCATTTTTTTAATAAATACAAAATTTATACATGCATGTATAAATCTAGTGAAAGAAAACATCCTCCATAAGACCTAATGATCATATCAATTCTGAGACAATTGTAAAAATGCACATGTAAATACCCCAAGAATCCTCCAAATTGCAACAAAATGTCCTTACCTCATAAGGAGATAACAAGGGTTTCTCAAAAGCCATGCCCCAGTCTATAGATAACCTCGGGCAAGCTATCTGTACCCATCTAAAAATAAACAAATTAGAAACTATACAGCAAATAATGGTAACAAAAGTGTGTTCCCAAAGTATGTTAAAATACCAAGAAATATTTCCATTTCTACTTGTTCTCTCTAAGATAACTCTTTGAGAGTTGGGTGAGTTGATTTCTTGATAATTCAACTGGAGTGTACATTTTGTCAAGTAAAAGGTCAGGAGCTAAGGAGGCCTACTATGCAGGTAGATCTTGTGCCCCTGTCTTTGTGTCTGATGTCAATGGGCGTGGACTATTGAAATCAAAATGGGAGACCTAGTGTAATTTAAATTTATTAGACAACATCTTTTAAAGCTAAATTTATAATTTCATTTCACAATGAAATGGAAATTAATTTATACAAGATGGGCTTCCTGTTAAGCAAATTATCCCACATTTCCAACAATTGTTGATGTCCTGGCATACCCAACAAACTAGACAGTGATTCCTTTAATATACCATTCATGTCATAAATTCCTAAATTTTATTGTAAACAAATAATGAATTTCAAAGCCTAATTGTTATATGTTTACTTACGCATCAATATCTGGATATAACTTTAGCTTGTCTGGGAAAATTTCTGACAATAAGACCAATGTACTACTTTTACCACACTCTTTGATTTTCTCCAGCAATTCCTGTTAAATTGAATTGAAAAAGTTAGATTAAATACTAGTACCTATAAATGAATTATCAAAATACAGCTGAAAATCTGTACATGTATAGAGTAGTTCATGCTTGTTAATACAAGTGACTGTTAAAGGAAAATCTGTGAAATGATAAACATTTTTAAGTTACGGATACTTAATTACACACATGTATGTTTTACATACCATAACTCACATATATTAAGCTTCATTTGATGGAGAAGAGGTAAAATTAAGATGAATTACCTGTAAAACCTTAGTTGACCCCTGTCTTCCCAGAGTTCCTAGCACCACTCCGTACTTCTGACCTTCGGCAGCTGTTGCTATGGCACTCCTTCTTATGGAATGCATCTTGTCAAAGTCATAATATTCTTTGGAAAAGACTTTACTGTAAGGGTCATACCTAACAGAAAGAAATGAAATTAGATTTTTGTTATCCTGTTTTCATCGTTTGACCTTCTACTTAAACCCGAGATTAAAATACAGTAAAACTCGGTTAGTACGAACACGGATATTGCGAATTCACGGATATAGCGAAGTCATCTTGGATCCCCAGCTATATAAATTTAATGAATTTCTTATACGGTTATAACGAATTACGGATATAGCGAAGTAATTTCATAGGTCCCAGCGACTTCGTTATAACCGAGTTTTACTGTAATAATATTTGTTCAGAAGTCTGAGAGAGTATGTGCTTTAAATAAATTCGAAATTCTGCAAAGTATTTTTTTAAAGATGAAAGGATTATAAAGCTGCTGTTTCAAAGTACTATTCTTTTTATAGAATCCAGGATATATATATACATGTACTTATTATTGGTGCCTAATGAATCTTACCTATAAGCTTGCACGCTGGGATTACTTATCATGATTGACTCAAGATGAAATCTTCCATCTCCAAGATATCTGTAGTAAAATTGATAGCATATGTTTATATACACATCTTACAAATTATGGATTTAAAGAAGAAATTTCATTTGTATCTGATGATTCAATTTACTGTATACAGGGAAATTTTTGCCCCCCTTTTATTTATGCCCCTTTCGCCCTTGTTACAAGTGGGTGAATTTAAAATGGGCAAATTCAAAGAACACTTACAATATAATTTCTTAAACAGAACTTTGACTGAGCAAATTTAAAATGCGGCAAAATTGTTAGCAAGTGCAAAAGGCCGAAAATAACAAGGGGCAGAAATAACCCTGTATACAGTTATTGAGTTTTACTTTACATGGGTGAATTTATTTATATCAATAGTTTTCCATGTTTAAGCATTAACATACCCTATTTTGTAGTCCTAGTAGACACATTTAATATCCATCTCAAAACAATTGGGAAATCATTAAATGGGAGATAATTTTTCCAAAAAAGAAATGTTTTGGTTATGATAAGATAGTTTAACCACTTTATGGTCAGATTCTGATACTCACATGATAGCCTGGGTTCCCTGTTTGAGTTTGGGAGAGGTACAACCCAGTATTTCACCAGGAGACAGGGGTTTACACTGGGGGATAATGACTTCATACTGGTTCTTCAGTTCTCGACTGGCAGCCTGAATAAGTACAGAAATAATAATCTCTGTAGATAAACAGAGAAATAAAACCATTCTACACTACTGAACTTTCAAAAACATATACAAGGGTATAAGGGTACATTCATTAAATATTTAATTTGAGTTATCCCCCTTTTATAAAGACAAAGTACATTTCAAAGAAGTAATTCCCCTTTATTAAATAATACACCTGGGGGGGGGGGGGGGAGAGAAAGAAAAAGTACATGTCCTAAAATGTATTTGCATTAGTGAACAAATATTTTGAACTATATGTACCTGAAGAGCAGCCACAAATTGTATGGTACACACTAATGCAAAGGAAGAGCCAGCAGGGAAGTTGTGTCGGATTGTGTCCAGAAAATGCATTGTATCAATCTTAATGTCCACAAACACATACAACATCAGGATTCCTCCCGTTTGGTCTATGGGAACTATCAAATACACAAGATTTATATGTAGTGTTTGCATATACATGTACTGGTATATAGTGTTTAATACATTATAAGTCACTGTTGTGCTGCTAATTACTTGATTACTGTAGACTACATGAAATTTTGCACTCGAAATGTACCTGTAGTTCAAACCAGCTCATCAACTTCTGAGTCGTGTTTAAAAATTGGAGCAAAGCTTATATAAGCATTTGTATTTAAAACCATGTAAACAATCTTTTTTGTTCTGCCAATCTTGTAATATGAAGTCAAATTTTATTTTTTTTAAATCAATGTGACTGAGAATACAAACTTCGAGATACCGGATGGTTCAAGGTATTAAGACACATTGACAGCGTGGTTAGATAGTCTAACTCATTTCAGTATACCATGCTATCAGAGACTTCAATGTTTGACTGTACATAAAAATATCTTGCATGAAAATTCATACCAAGACAGCTGTGTCCATAGTGAACCATTAAGTCAGCACCAAGAGCCCTCGCTGTGAAGTCGTCTACACAACAAGCTCCGTAAGTCACATCTCCCATGATGACTGTGTCGGCCTCTGTAAATCTAAAATACACCAAAAGGACAGATCTCAAGAATTTGGCAGATTCTGTTTACACAAATGAATGGTATAAATCAAGACATATGGTCAAACCCTGTTTTCTCAACCTTGATTGGATCTGGAAAAAAAACTATTAAAACAAAAGAGCGAGAGATATCCAGTGCAATTTGAAATATCATATAATATACATAAAAAAAGTGGATTGAGATTTCTAACTTCAACAATTCGAGGTATTTGAGATACGCAAGTTCAAGATAACAGAGTTCAACTGTGTATGCCCATTCAGTAAACTTACTCTTCTATTATATCGGCTATTGTGCAGGCAAACATTAACAATCCCTCTGGAAACTGCAGTGCAACTGTGGAAAAAAAATACAGGATTATTCTCTATTCTCTACCTGTAATAAATTTCATGAGAATTAAGTAATTGTCATTGTCACTTAAGACCTTAAAAAATATTTAAAGGCTAATACAGAATACAATATTAATGAGACATGTTTACAAGTCTGTTACCTCTTTTGGCACCCGTTGATTGTATCTTCCATACTGTCTTGTATATCTCAAAATTATAATTATCAGGAAGCTAAAAGTATAAACAAAAACACTGACCAAACATATTAACTGCCTGAATTAAGTGTATGCAACTGAATGTAAACATGTATTTTATTATGTTCACTGAGCATGCTGAGTTTTAAATTGAAATAGCCACCTGTTTTACTGCATGCTGAAGTTTAGGATTATTGAGAATTTCTTCAGGAATCTGATGAGCAGCTCTCTTTGTTCCTGCAATGTAAAAGAATTCTTGATTTATATAAATAATCATTTCATTGAATCATTATGATTTTATTCTTAAACAAGTCAATCACATGTACTTTTACTAGACATTTATATGTAGATGGAAACTTAACTTGCTGTACAACTCTGATAAATTAACACATAGGGGCCATCAGTGTGTTGTTATCATTAAACTTTCATAAAAATAGTGAAAATTTACCTTTTATGCCTGAAAAGAACTTGACATTTTGAGTTATTGGCCCACCTCTTAATACAGTTAAACCTTGATATCTCAACCTCACGGAGCTGAGAAAAAAAACTTTGATATCTATAAATATATTGACTCACAAAGGGGGGGGTATGCCACCATTAATTTTTAATGTGAATTGATGATTTAACGTTCTCAAAAGGGAAAGTGACATCATATATTGGCAGAGGGTAATGTGTTACATTCCACATGAAATTTATTGTAACAGTGATTTAATAGTATTACATGAACGTTAGATATTGATATTTCAGAGCAGTTTTTCAAAATGTAAAGATTACCTGTAAACACTTTCTTGTTTTTATTCGCAATTACAACTTTAACATTCGATGATTTCTCTTTGTCGTCATTGGAATCTTTGGAAGCAACTGAATTTTCCATCTTTCATGCCTTTTTGCATTCGGAACTCATCTAAATGTATATACCATCGGCACACCTCTGAGTTTATCGTAAGGGAGTGACGTCACGCTGCCCACATTGTCGGTTCTTTTTCCTCATGTTTAACTGAATTTAGTCTTATTTATAGGTAAGATTACTTTTATATACGTTAGTAAACATGTTGGAATAGATGTGTTTGATCTGCTTAACCTGAATTCAAATAGTAAATTTCAAGTGTCAAAAAATATGAAAACATTTTCTCACGCAGTATGGTGAATTGTGGACAGAATTTCCTCAGTCGATCAACTATACACATAAGCAATCAAGAAAACGTGCACATATATCAATGCTTTATAAAGCATATAATAAATCGATATGTATTAATTGGCATTATTTTGCGAATTAAAGGCGTATGTAGTAAATTCTGTTATTCAGTCGAGTGTATAACCATATTGTATGCATGCCAGGCTGCCTGCAGCATATGTGCATGCAGAGTCATACAAACCCTGGTGTAATCTGGCAAAGGTAATCTGCCCTGGATAAGATTACTTTTTGATTCTGGTTCTATTACTTCTATAATATGTTTTACGGCGTGACCGTTGGGGCGAGCGCAGTTGTACCATCAAAAACACTTGAGATCAGGCACTTCGAACGTCAAAAAATACGAAAACATTTTCTCACTAGCTGTGACGTCATACGACGTCACAAAGCTAGTCGGAGCAACTATACACATAAGCAATCTGTTTGAAACTATGAACTAGATCAATTTTTGTAAAAACATAGCAAGTTATTTCTTGTTTCTTTGAAAGATTTCTACAAACTGAAAGTCTGATATATGCTTTACGTTATTATTTATTTATTTATTCGGCAATATAAAGGACATTGGGTAGTGCAGGAATTCTGGCTGTTGCACAGAGAAATTTGGCTCACTATGTGCATGCAGATTTCAATCCGAATTTCCTCTGTTCTTACACGTTAGTCTATTGAGCTCGCTTCGCGAGCGTCGCTTCGCGACGCTCGCTGCGCTCTATATAAATTTCATTGATCTTTTCTGTTCAAAATTTCTATGTTTCCTCTTGTTATTTAAGTTTTATATTGTTTAATGGAATTTTTTTCTTCCTCTGACAAAGAAATTATGGAAGACAGAGTAAGGTAGAAAAAACAGTTTTAGGTTTACTGCACTATGTATTAATTTTCAGATACACAGAGGAAGATGTCCCGATTCTTTAAAGGTTCTGACTCTGAGTCTGAGAGTTCATCGTCAGAGGATGAAATTAATATCCCCCGTGCAGGAACCACTGCAGCAAGACCTGTGTATGTATTGCCAAAATGGCTGTTTTAACTTAATAATGTCAACTGAAATCCTTCAAAAATAGTTCTAAGTCTAAACAGAGTTATGTGAAATATTTAAATTAGGTTTATTTAAACTTGTGCATTTTCTTTCACTTGACTTGTTAGATATTAATTATTTTTAATGACACTGTCTTTTGATTTTCTAAGTTTTTTAAATTTTAAATTACAGTGCTTATGCATTCAGCGATGAGGAAGATGAACCTAAACGTATTGTACGGAGTGCAAAAGACAAAAGGTAAAATATATTTTGGACTAAATGTCATAGCTGACATAAACGAAATAAGAATTGATGTTAGATCGATCTGGTTGATGCATACATAATTGTTCTATGCAAATAGATGCTGAACCTGTGTTGGTTTTTTTTTTAACAGATTTGATGAATTAAGAGAAATAATCAAGAAAATGGGAAATCATAAGAAGATCAAAGATATGGCTAGTGTGCTAACAGGTAGGATTGAGATTGTACATACTTAAAGGAAATGTTGATGATGCATTGTTTCAAAGAAGTCATCTGAGAAGTTTATTTCTGACTAGCTTGGGCTGGTATTGCAATTAAAAGTTTTAGTTTGATCATTTTGTTCTATCGTTACACATAAAACAAAGTGTAAAACAACCATATTTGATCAGAGAAAAAAGAAGTCGATGAATTAGCATCCAGATTTTATACACAGGTCAAACCATTAAATAAAAATCCTTTAAACTCTGATAAGAGGTTAGTTTTAGGTTTATTTCTCATAGACCATCCAGATATATTTTTCCTTGACAGCGAAAGCTATTTCATACATATATAAAATATTTTATTTCTTTTGTAAAAAAAAAAAAAGACTTTGAGGAATTAGGAAAGGCATATGAGAAAGCAAAGAAAGTCATAGAGAAAGAAAACCAGATTCCACGCTTCTTCTTGAGGTGTCTGGTGGAACTAGAGGACTTTGTTGCAGAGGTATGTCTGCCTATGTTTTAATTTTCTTAGTTTTCTACATGTTCTAGGAGGATTAAAAAAATTACCATAAAATATTTTGACTTTAGTAGTACTCTGTTTTTAGTATAATTTTCTTGTTGTTTCATTCCAGTGTTGGGAGGACAGGGAGGGGAGGAAACAGATGAGTAAAAACAACGCCAAAGGTCTGACTACCCTCCGACAGAAATTGAAGAAGTACAACCGAGACTTCGAATCTGATATTACGTCCTACAGAGAGGTGATGATCGCAGACTTTCTCCTGCAACATTAACTATAGACCAATGAATGTTCACGTACCTTATTTTCACAAGACAGACACTCACTCTTTTAGTCTTTATTGGCAAAATGTTCACGAATTGGGGTTATTGCTTTATATAATCTTTAGAAATACTTTCATAGGTGAGAATGATATTTTTACGAGCATATTGTCCTAGATAATTACATGAAAATAAATTTCTCATGAATAAAAAGTGATTTACAATATTAAAATCTTTATTATATAATTAATATAAGGGAAGAAGGTAATAAGTTTTGTTTTATGTATTTTAACAGAACCCAGATGAAGGAGAAGAGGAGGAAGCAGGAGGTGAGACACAGTACCTTTCGTCTTTTTTGATTGTGCCAATTTTACATTTATTTATCAGATACATGTACTGAATTCTTCTTGCTAAAAAATCACTAAATACAAATTGTAATTGTTTTTGCAAAATAAGGTTCATGTTGAAGAGATGTTTATCCTGAAGTCAGAAAATAGCTCTTCAGGGCTAATGTGTTTTTTTTTTTATTTACCCGTCTTTAAATAATTATTGTCTTATCCATGAATTGTAGATTCTGAGGATGAGGACTTAGAGGTGGAGGTCCAGGAGGACTTCAGTAAATCGAGGACCAAAGAGGACACCAAGGCTGCTAAAAAGGTAGGAAGAAGAGGGGCAAATCTACAAGATACTGACTAGGACAAATTTTTGCAAGTTTCACTAAATTCAACAGTTTTGTCAACATTTCCACATTGTCAGTTTTCTCTTTTACAGTACAAGTATTTAGAAAATCAACTTGGCAAACTCAGCTTTGTTTTGGGAATTCGATTATCTTTATAACATTTTACTGATTTAGGAGGCATACAATGATGATTATGACAGTGAGAGGGATATGAGTTCTGACAGTTCCAGCTTTACTTATTGACCTTTCTGTTTTTATGTTTCACTGATCCAGGTGGCGTATGATGACGACGATGATGATGATGACAGTGAGTGGGACATGAGTTCTGACAGCTCCAGCTCTGAGAGTGACGGTGGGGAGGGACCAGGTACAACTGTCTACACAGCCGCCATGTTCTTAAAGAAGTAAGTCAGAAAGATGTTGATTTAAAACAACCTATGTTATGATACAGTATGTTTGATAAGTATATTTAACAGTGACCCTTTTATCTAAGATTCATATTGAGGAAATGGTTTGAGCAGTTTCATTCCTCTCCCGAACACAAAAGTTGATTCAGACATACACTGTTGCTTGATGAAATTGGTGATTTCTTTCATTTAGATTATTGGTATATTTTCTAGGCAACCAGGAGAGGATAAAAAAGAGAAAAAAGAAAAGAAAGAGAAGAAAGTCAAGAGGAGGAAAGAGGAAGATGAAGAAGGGGAATGGGAAGAGGTCACCAAGGGGGCACCTATGATCAAGGTCAGAAATTGTCAGGGAGGTGTACAGTACCTTAGTTTGATCATAGAACATTATCATACACTTATATGATTTCTCAGAAAAAAAATCATGAATACTCATTTAGAATTAGAATTTTGATTTCAGGAAGCACCCAAAATGTTTGCAAAGGACACAGAAGTAAACCATGAAGCTGTCATGAAGAAATTGAATGAGATTATTTCTGCCAGAGGAAAGAAGGGGACAGATAGAAATGAACAGATTGCACTGTTACAAGAACTGCAAAGCATTGCTGATGCTAATAATCTTGGCCCAGCCATTTCAATGAAAATTATGTTCCACATTATCTCAGCCATTTATGATTACAACCCTAACATTGCCACCTGTATGAGAACTGAGATGTGGGAAAAGTAAGTTAAATGAAATTTCCTATCCAAGAATTAAATTTGATTCATTAGTTTCTGGTCAATTTTCTTTTAGAATACATGTACTTTCATATTCAGAGTACCATACCATATAGCCAGGAGTTTAATTTTTTCCCAAAAATACTGTGTTGTACAATCTACTTTAAATATGTATTACAGTTGTTCTCTTTAAATTCTGAAAATAAAGAAGAAGTGTATTATTTGTTACTTATGCCTGAGATTTGCTCTTTTCAGATGTTTGAACACTGTTAGCCAGTTGCTAGACATGGTGGAAGCTAACTCTGATATTGTCATTGGAGAAAATGTGCTGGAAGAAAGTGAAAATGTCACAGTAAGTGTTTAGAAGTCTTCAGCATATTAATACAAAAGATACATGTAAAAGGATTTATATATTGATTTTGAAAATTTGTTTTTTAGACTCCCCCATACAGAATCCGGGGCTGTGTTTTAACAGTGGTGGAGAGAATGGATGAAGAATTCACCAAAATGTTACAAGCCTGTGATGCACACAGCACAGAATATGTGGATAGGTAAATATCTGACCAGTTATCCTATCTCTTACTGAGGGAGTTTTAATTGACTCCTTTATTCCTCAGAGACTGTGGAATGTGATGTTTCTTCAAAAATATTTGCAGGTTAAAAGATGAAAAAGCAGTATGTGACATACTAGATCGCCTGCAAGCCTACACTGTACCTAGAGGTACCACAGAGGAAATTTGTCGGGTTTATCTCAGAAGAATAGAACACATGTATTACAAGGTAAACACTGTTACATGTACAAAATAATCCTCTAAAGAATCGTGCCCAAATAGAAAGAATTTAAAAAAGGCTTTAGAGAAGAATTGAGGTCATATCAACAAGCTTTGTTCATCAGTTTTAAATCAGTGGAAAATACTACCCGGTAGCTAAGTGTGAATAGGTTTTAACTGGAAATCAAATATTTAACAGATTATTTCAAACTTCTCATTTATCCAAATGCACTGAGTACAAAATAGAGGAAATAAAGTTATTTAATCTAGACAAGTTGCCAAAGATTTACAGTGAAAATTCTTGTATGACTAGTTCTCTATAATGTAATACTTGAACTTAATACATCCACTAAACAGATGTTTTATTTATTTTTAGTTTGATCCTGAAGCATATGATAATCCACAGGTAGGTATCTTGATATTAAATGTTGCACCAAAGTATTTAGTGTACGGCATCAAAATTTCACACTACAAAGAAAACCACTCTTTTACATCATCATTATCATGGTTTTTTTTTTGGTTCCTCTTGGAACGTAGGGCCTCTCTCTTTTACATAACATCTTGCTTATTTGTAGGCTGAGAATAAAACGTTTCAGGAAATGGAGGAGATGTGTAAGTTTATTTATGCTAAGGATCTGACGGACCGACTCCGCACACGTTCCATGCTGTGTCAGATTTACCACCAAGCTCTCCACGATCGATGGTACGAGGCCCGAGACCTAATGCTGATGTCACATCTACAGGACACGATCCAACACTCAGATGTCCCCACTCAGGTGGGATAAAAGTCATAAAGATTGTTAAAAATGATGAAAAATGGTTCCACTCTTTGATAAAATATTTACATTGCCCTAATTGTTTTACATTTAACAAGTTTTGTGGAATTAATGAATATTTCATTTAATTACAGCTTAATTCAGAAGATATTTTTGTTAATTTCAGTAATGCTGATTGAATTTTGTTTTACAGATTCTATACAACAGAACAATGGTGCAATTAGGACTGTGTGCTTTTAGGAAAGGAATGATCAGAGATGCTCACAATGCTTTAGTGGACATTCAGAGTGGTGGTCGAGCCAAGGAGCTGTTAGCACAGGTAAATATATTTCTTCAGATGGGGGGGGGGGATTGAGTCAGGAAGTTGTTCAGGTAATCTTTTTTTATGGAGGAAATCCACAATGAACTAGAATTCAAAGCTTGAAAAAACCAGAAGTTAGGAAATAAAGATATTCTTTTATAAATATTGTTTTTGAAGTCTCATTATAAACTTAGAAGATATAAAGAATTACGTTAAATTATTGTTTGTTTTAAAGACACTGACATATTTTTGTAGGGTCTCTTGCTCCAACGTCAACACGAGAGAACTCCAGAACAGGAGAAGATAGAGAAACGCCGTCTCCTGCCATACCACATGCACATCAACTTGGAATTACTGGAATGTGTCTACCTTGTGTCAGCCATGTTGATTGAAGTACCCTACATGGCAGGTCAGTTATTACATCCTTGCTTTCTGCTTTATATGGTTTATAAGGTTATCTTTTGTATGTTAGTCTCAGTCAGTGTGTATGGTCACTGTGGTGTGAGCTCTAATCATTTTGACAAGATCATCAACTAAACTTGCCTGAAAGCAAGCCTGGATGGGGGGGGGGACTTAAGGTCATCCAATTACTATTTATAATTTCATGCCAATTTTCTGAACTTCAGCCCATGAAATGGATGCCAGAAGAAGGATGATCAGTAAGAACTTCCACCACGTGATGAGGATGAGTGAGCGCCAGGCTCTGACCGGCCCCCCAGAGAGTATGAGGGAGCATGTAGTGGCCGCCTCCAAAGCCATGAAGACTGGGGACTGGAAGGCCTGCAAGAACTTCATCCTCAACGAGAAAATGAATGCTAAAGTAACTATATATCTTCCAGAATTTAGAATCTCTAGTTATTTTATTTGGACTGCAATGTAATTAAAGTAGTTACTGCAAAACACACACATGATGAATTCATGCTTAGGGCAAAGTAATTTTCATTCCCTGTAGCATATATTTTTGTCCCCCGCTTGAAAAGTGGGGGATATTAATTTGGGTTTGTCCGTCCGTCTGTCTAGCCGTCCGTCCGTCCGTCCGTCTTTCTGTCTGTCTGTAACGCTTTCGTTTCCACACGATATCTCGAGAACCCTTTGAGCTTTTGCAATGAAATTTAGCATAGCAACTCCTTGTGGACTAAAGAAGACCCCTATTGATTTTGAGATCAAAAGGTCAAAGGTCAAGGTCATAAATAAGCAAATTCTGTCTGTTAAAACACTTTCGTTTCCACACGATATCTCTAGAACCATTTGAGCTAATGCAATGAAATTTTATATAACAACTCCCTGTGGCCTAATGAAGACCCCTATTGATTTTGAGGTCAAAAGGTCAAAGTTCAAGGTCGTATTTATACATTCTGTAAATACTATTAATATTTCAAGAAAGCTTATGCAATGCAAAACTCCCTACACTTTGTTTTATTAGTATTTATAGTATTACAAGTGATTTTTAGCGCAGGGGCATGAGGAGAGTTATTGCGTATAAAACAGGTTCTGGCGGACTTTATGGTTTAACAAAGGCTAAATAAATCAAACACCATGGATTGTGTAAAATTTTGTGAAAACATGAATATATACATGTATGTGACTTCACTTCTGCATATACTTCGCAACATGTCAAGCGATTCCGTGGTCAAGTGGATATGTCTCTCGCTTCCAGTGTGAGAGGTCCCGGGATCGAATCTCGGTCGAACCTTTTTTTTTTTTTTTCTTTTTAAATACTTTTTTTTTTAACTAAATGATAGTATTCAGCATGTGAAATTGAAAAATTATGAGGTTATAAAATCATCATTACAGTGTGATAAAAATTCCCTACAAAGAAATCTTCTATACACATAATGAAGAATAAGCAATCAAATCTTTATATGCATATTGACATACATGTATTTTATTTGCTTCAGTATACATGTATACATTTAATGATTCTACAAATTCAGTCAGGGGGAGCCGACTTTTTCCCTATGCGGGGGACACGAATTCTCTGAATTAGCTTGTTAACTTACAAATATAATGAATTACCGGTATATTTAAAAACTTTTTAAAAAATTTGCACCCCTAACTTGAGTGTGGCGTCCTGTAGGTTTGGGAGCTCTTCTATAAGAGTGAGACAGTACAGGAGATGGTGACTGGTAAGATACAGGAGGAGAGTCTGAGGACGTACCTGTTTACCTACAGCAGTGTGTACGACTCCCTCTGTCTACACACACTCTCAGACATGTTTGAATTGGACAAAGGAATCGTGCACTCCATCATGAGTAAAATGATCATCAATGAAGAACTCATGGTAAATTATACATCATAGATGCATTTTTTTGCAAACAATGTAAAAAATTCATAAGTATTTCATTTGTTTTTTATTTATACTGTAATTTGAGGTTATAAGTGTTACTGTTTTGCCAAAAATTTGTATATTATAGTTTGATAACATTATTATATCACTCATTGCAAATTTTATTAATCCAGCATTGTTAATTTTATAGAGTAAAACAGATAACCTTACATTACATACTCCCCTTGCAGGCCTCTCTGGATGAGCCCACTCAGACGGTCATCATGCACCGTACCGAGCCCACTCGCCTCCAGTCCCTGGCCCTCCAGCTCTCCGAGAAGGTGTCCTCCCTTGTAGACAATAACGAGAGGATCATGGAGCTCAAGCAGGGCAATCTCTTCTACCAGAAGTCAGGGGGAAGTAAGTCTGATTAGCATCAAGATTTATGTGCACTGGATATTGATTTACTAAATTTACTTGCTTTTTCAATTTCAAAGCATACTTAGGGTGTTTTCATAAAGATATAATTGTCGAAGGAAGAGGGAGGGCAAGATATTTATGCTCAGAGTATCAGTGGCAAATCCTTGAAAACTACTTTTTTGGTTTTTGCTTTATATGTTCAAATGTGTAGATTTAGCTGATAATAAAAGATGATGAATTTTTAACACTTGCAGTGTCTTGCACACATGTTTGTTTGCATCTTCACATTTGCTTATTTATAAAGCATTGAAATTTAAACACCAGTCAGTGTAAATCAGCCATGTATAGTGAAGTCTAGGCCCTTTTTAGCTTTTTGAAATGCTGGCATGTTACAGAAAAGTAGTGATTAATCTGATAATATTGTAGACTTACTCTCTATGATTTAACACCATGGTATATAAATGGGTGAGTGCATTAACATTGTTAACATTTGGTGAGTGGTGCATGCTGGGATACCAAATGTCCAAATAGCTTACATTTACCTGTTTTTCTGTTACTTTGTTTTATACTGTCTATACATGTACTATGTCTTATATCACAGATAGTGATAAAAAAGTGATTTCTTCATATTTTGTCCAAATTTTACATTTTAAGGAATGAAATGTAAAGGAATATGTTTCAAGTAAACTCTTTCTGGCATGAAAGGTTAGGTGGGCTTCTTTTTCCAAAGAACATTCTTCTCTCTGTTTTGGTTTTGATTTTTTTTTTCTTTTACATTGATATTTTTTTTTTAATATATCATGGAAAATAAACTGATCATGAGGAACTTTTTCTAGGAAAAAAAAGTTTGAGGCCTATACCCTGTTCTATTTTATCTTGAAAACAACCTTGTTGATAGGCATTTGACTATATGCTGAATAACAAACTTCTTACTCAATTAAAGAGGAGATTATAAAATTTCTCAGACACAGTTTTAGACAGACATTTAATGAATATCAATTTCAAATTGTTTTTTGAACAGCTATTGAAAGGAAAAGAGGAAATTTTTTGCTAGGCATAAAGCAGCAATTATCACAGACAAAGTGATTATTGTCCTAAAAATATGTACCGGGTATATTGTGATTCAGTTACATATGGAAAAAGCTTCCATATAGAGATATGTATTTTTTTTATACTTTCAAAATTATTATTTAAATTAAATTTAAATTTAGTTAAGATTATCTGGAAATTTTGTAATTTGTGTAGTATACTCTCTGATTATATTTCATGGACTTTAAATATTTTTCTGTTGGCCAAAAACTTTTTCCCACTAAGACATTTATTTAAAAAAAAAAAGAAGTGCATTATTGGTATATGAATTAGAAACATTGAATTTATTCTTATCAACAGGATAGTTTTGTTAAAAAACAGGTGCTGTAAATAAATTGTGCCTACCAATTGTAATTTCAACAAATTTTAGATATTGTGCATGAAAAATTTTATTTTCAGGAAGTTTATCAAAATATGTTTGATTCTGAATGAAAGAAAATGTATATGTATGCCATGTGTTTGAATAAGGCTCGGCTGATGGTAAATGTGTGGTGATGGCAGATTGTAATTGAATATTTTTGAGGAACACTTCAAAGCAACACTGTATCATATTAAATTGTGTTTGAATAAAAGTAATACATTCATTATTTGTTTTTCAGCACAAGACAGACAAGATCGTTTCCAGAGTAATTACCAGCAAAACCGTTCTCAAAATTGGCAGGACAGAAGAAATCAGCGTCAGAATTATTCACAGAGAACTTACTAATTAGTGCTATAATCGGGATCTGACTTTTAAAAATAGCATTTATGGATTTGTGTTAAAGACATTAAATCATTAAATCGTGGAAATATTAATTTAAATTGCAAAAATTGACAATTTTGTCTAAATTTAAAAATAAATTTCTTCAAAATTGAGTAATATATTGTTCTGCAGTTGTACCAGCAAGTCTTCTTTGGATTTTTAGGTCAACTGAGTCACTTGGGTGAGCTATTGCTTTCTGTTTTCATCAATTGTGCATTAAAATTTTTTGTTTTTCTATAGAACCACTCAAACAATTTCAATGAATTTTGGCATTTTGGCTTGAATCGATGATTGAAGGGAAACAAAAATCATGTATTTCTTAATCCTTACACCCCAAAAGATCAATGGAATCTTTTAAATTCTTCACCTTTCCTATTGCACATGAAGAAGTCAAACTGTTGGTATGATTGTAATAAGCATTGAACCCTGCACCAAAATTATGAAATTCATGGCCACTAGGACTGGGGTTCTGATGGTGGGGCAGGACTCTGTTGAATATATTGTGAAACTGCATTATTTCTTTAAAAATCTCTGATGATCATTGTGATCATTGGCATTAAGCAAACAAATTAAATGCATAGTTATAATGATGAGCAAGGATGCCTCTTCCAAACTTGTAAATGGCTATATAGATCACATAGTGAAAATGCATTAATTCTTTGAAAATTTGCCTCTGCTCCGGGGTATTAAGCTGATAACAAAGTTCGTGGTTATGAACAATGGTACATTGTCCAAAGTTGTGACCTATGTATGTGAGCCCTATGCTACATGTATGTGCTGGGCTCATGATTTTCAATTATGGTTTTGAGTATCACCTTGATATAATTAATTCAATTTATTGACTTCATGATATTAGTATAGAGTCAAAATAGGAAATCAAATGACGGACATTAACAGAAAAAAAGTAAAAACTGTATGATGGCTATAACATGCATTACAATTTTACGCAATTCTTAATGGTCCATTGTATTAAAGAATCAAACTAAATGCATAGTTGTGGTGAGCAAGGGTGCCTCTTCCGAAATTGAGAAATGTGTGGCCCCTAGCTGGGTCAGTGGTTCCTGCAGGGTAGGGTCTCTACTTATTTTACAGTGAAAATGCATTATTTTTCTGACAATCCTCTGCTTTACTTCTGGGTATAAAGTAAACAAATGAAGTGTATAGTTTTGATGAGCATAGGCACACATTTCAGAATTGTGAATTTCATGGCCCCTGGATTAAAACATGAATCCAACTCTGTTCAAAACATTCAATTTAAATGGTTGATAAAAATGTAAGCAAATCTATGGTTGGTCTAGAGGGAAAAACCTGAATAAACCTCATGGAACTTCATTTGAGGGGAACTAACTTGAAATTCATAATCATTTAATTATGTATGATATAGCTTTCCCCCTGTTTCTGACTTTTAGTGAAAAAAGAAGAAAAGAATGTAATTTATAGTTTATAAACTTAAAAAAACATGCCATAAAAATATATCACAATATGCAGAATTATTTAGTAGAATCCTTGTCATCATTCTGGTGTATGGGTCTGTGGTATATCTTTTCTTTCTTCCCTTCCTTCATGGCTGTAAATCTTGCAGCAGTAAACAAGAAATCACTTAGTCTAAAAGAAGAACAAAATGAGTTTTTTTTTTGGTTTTTTTTTAAAAAGGCATTTTTGATTTTTTTTTTTTGCAAAGAGAATGCTATGCAACAATTCTCTAAAAAATGTTGTTTTGATTTGTATGTGAAGAGTGTTCTAAAAATTGAATGTCTCATTTTTTGCTTAGTAGGCTGTTCTAAATAACAGATTTTTTTTTCTCCTCTCAATAAATGAGAAACAATCCAGCAGCACTAACCTATTTAAATATTTCAAGGGTTCTTGGGAAACTTCATTTGCTTTCACCATTGGAACAACCCTGTAAAATAAATAAGTTGCATAATGGAATGGTACACTGTATATTTATGGTATCAATATTATTGTCTTGAAACATTCTTGCTGGAATACTGCTATCTGCACATATAAATGAAAATGATACACATTTCTAATTTATTACCTGCTCAAAAAATATATATGAGGGATGATCAAAAAGTTTGTGAACTATCTCTATATTTACAAAACTACGATTCAGATCAGAATGAAATTTGGCACACCTATAGTCATGCACATGTTCTATAAATAGCATATGAACTGTAATGATTTTCTCCATCATTATGACGTCATAATGTGAAAATGACGTCTATACGTAGGTGACTCGTGTCGAAAAATGATTGTCAGTTTTACTCGAGCAACGAAGCCTGGAAAGTTTAACATATAACTTCGAAATTCCTTTGAAGTATCTTATAATAATTTGTACAACGTTTACAAAGACACTAGGCTTCCTAGATGCTCAATCATAAATTGAATTGACTGTTAAAGTGAAGTGAGGGAGATGATTAAAAATGACGTTTGTTTTGTAGCTCAGCAAGGGCAAGCTAGGGGAAGAGATGTGTCCTTTGTTGGGCAATTTGTTAGGAAAGATCGTGAAGTTACAGCTAGAAAAGTAGTTGAATATTTTTACAATGATATTTGTATTATTAAGTCCCTAAAACACTGTTTACTTTGGATTTTAAAGAAATTACATGTAAATATGATAAAAAGAAAGCCCCTTTACTATATATCCATATTGGATAAACGATGTTCCTAAGACAGAGGACTCGGGTTGTAATGGTCACCATGCTCTTTCTGGGAAATGTTGTCCTTATCTAACCATCCTATTCCTGAGATTTGGTCATTTCTGACAAATGGACTGTTCTCGTTATGAAAAATTACTTGCATGGTAAGAAATATAAGACTCAGGAAAACATTTGTGTCTATGAACAGAATGCTTCAGAACATGTCACGTGACCACCTGGATCACATGATTCGTGCATGGGCAGAACAAAGGCAGATATGCATTAAAGCCAGAAAGGGCTACTTAAAAAAAATATTGAACACTGAAACCTAATTTTTTTTGTTTTATGGAGTTATTCAATTTGTTCGCGAACTTTTTGATCACCCCTCGTATTTTACCTTCTCTCTGCCTTTCTGCAAACTGATCTAGCAACATGAAGGTGTGCTGAGCAAAGACCTCCTGACTACAAAAGGAGAAAAAACAACTTATAATTCAAATAAAAACAACAATAAACAACTTGTCATCCTCAAGGAAATGTCTTCTTTAAAGGAGGGGGGGGGGGCAGTCTGCATGATTTTTCCAATTAATTAAATTTACTGTTCAATTCAAATGAATTTTAACCCCCTTTTCCCAAAAGTTTCTGTGAATTCATCATGCTGCCTTCATTTACTGAATTGTGAGAAAACTATGCCGGAGACACAAGTCCATTCCTTAAATTAAATAACAACTCATCATTATAAATCAGTACTTTGTAAACTGTTATCCTAATCATAAATAATTTCTTCCTATTACATTGCATCCCACACTCTATTGTATAATAGAAGTGGGTTGCAAGGTGCAAGCAAAGCATCTATTTACAGGATAAGCAAATATGTTTCACATACTCACTGGCAAGATAAAATTCTTCAAGAGAGGTAACTCCTCTGTGTATTGATCAATCCATTTTTCTAATTCTGTTGTGAATGTAGCATTAAATTGTGTATTTTCTGAAAGCAAGAATAATTTGATTATGAAATAAACTTTTAAGAGATTAATAATATGTAACAATTATTTAATTTTGGCTGAAACACAGTATATTTGATTGGAAAAAAATTAGCATTTTATATCTCATATAATCAGAGTAACTTATTTCGTTATGACTAACTTCAAATATATCCTTGATGTACACATGTACAATTTAAAGGCATTTTTGAAGGGAAATCATCTTTAATTTTACAGTTTATGATAGAACATTTAATTATAAATAATTAATTAAAAAGCTACCTAAGTTATACTTGTATAACATAGGGAGGGGGTGGGGGTGAAACATGATTCATGGTTTTTAGAACATGAACTGCCTCAGTCCAGGTTATACAGTCATTCATTAAATGCAGTTCCATATGAGAGAGAGAGAGAGAGAGGAGTCTTACTTAAGTGAACCTCCCTTGCAGAAGACTGTGGAGTGGCTACACAGGACCCAATATCCTGGAGGACACACTGGACCTATATGTACAAAAGACAAATTAAATGCTTCTTTTCTTCTTCATACAATTTCATTACACTGTATTAGAAATCAGAGTTTAGGAAAGAGCAACAGAAGACAAGGAAATTTAATACAGTAAGAAACATGTAAAAACTGTCCAGTTCCTAACTGTAAGGCTTAATTTATCAAGACAAATCAGTGGATACAGAATGCAGAATTGACAGAGAGTTCGTAAATACATTAAATTAAGAGTAAATACGACTCAAGATAGGAACACCCAATGTAACAGAAATGCAGGGGGGGGGGGCTTTTTCAGTGGATAAGTTCATTTTATTTTCAGTCACATATCTTGTTTTGCCTGCATAAATCATGATAAATAATGTTATATATTGTCTAATAAACAAATAAGTTTTTTTACCTGTTCTAGTTGACTGATGAGACCTTCATCCTTACAAAATTCTGCTGCTACCCTTAAAAAAAAAGAATCTGGACATGAATGCCTATAACCTAATATGTCCCATTCACCGTCCCATTTTAGACAGGCATAAAAAATAAGTGTTTGCCAAGCACTTTTCACTGTATATATATATACAGAATGCTATAAACATGATAAACCTTATCACTTTTCACTGTAGATATGCAGTTACATTAAGCATGTTTCCTATTACATGTAATTGGAAAATAATGCTATAGATAGGTCACGGTTCTTCTATGGTTTGTTTTATACATCTGTCTTACACACTTATTTTCCAGTAAGATATTACAATGAATACTTTAAATTGTCTTTAAATTATACATGTATTTAAACCAAATTCTGCCCCCTTAAACCTTTGTGATGAGAGGAATATGAAGGAAAACATAGAGGGATTTCTGTTCCGCTGCATTTTCTCTTCTCCTGCATGATGTTACAGTTGTCGACAGCAATCCAAATATCCAGCCAAGTTGAATTTCAATTGAAATAAATCCTGTTCAGCTAAAATTAAAATTCCCTTAGATCTGGTTTAGGGGCCATAAAATGTAGCCAGATCACTTCTGAGATTAAAATCTGAGACCATCTCAATTAATTTTGATCTCAAAAGTGAGCTGGCTATGTTCCATGGCTCAGAAACCTGGATGAGCACATTAAGTGTCAATCTTACCCAATAGCAGAACTTAGTTCATCGGTGGATCCTAAAGCTTCAAATATGACATCATCTTTTGATCTTCTCTCTCCTGTGTAGGTTGAAGATGCACCTGGCAAAAAAAAAACTCTAATGAAAACTTAAACTTATTAAATTTTTACTTTTCTGCAAAAACTACTCTACAGGGTTAATTTTTCATAGAATATGTGAATAAAGCAAAAGGCATTTATTTACCTTTATCTCCAGTTTTTGTGTAAATCTTTGGAAAAGACTTTGAACTGCAAAGGATTTAAATGAAGAATCATTATTTGATTCAAATTCATTTCCCTAGAATGTCATATCACTTTCCCTTTTAACATACAAATAAAAAAAATCAATTGCCTTGAACGTTGTTGAAACTAAGATATAGCACCTGACCGGAGTTTCAATGAAAAAAAATGTAAGAGTGTATAATACTTCGCAAATATAAAATTTCCCCCTCCAATACATCTATATGTCGTTATATGCAAGCAGATTTCTTTTTCTCCCGTTACACATCCCATGTATATACAAATACACTTATTTTCAAAAATTTACAATGAATACTTTAAATTGTCTTTAAATTATAACATGTTATTTAATTTTGCAAACACTTCTGGGAGATGTTCTTTTACCTCTTAAACCTAAACCTTTGTGATGAGAGGATTATTATCGAAGGAAAACATAAAGGAGGTTTTGATTGCTTTTCTGTTTCCAATCTGATTGGTTAGATATTTAAACTGTATTACAATTAACCAATCAGATAAGGCAAAACAGAAAAGCAGCTCTGGAACTGCATGATTTGTTACAGTTAATAATCGTTCGATTACGCAATCCAAATATCCAGCCAAGTTGAATTTCAATTGAAATTAAATAGGTAACACTGTTATTACCTAAAATTAAAATTTTTGTTTCTTACCTTGTGTATTTTTATATACCGGGCCATAAAATGTAGCCATATAACACATATCTGAGATTAAAATTTTATATTTGAGACCATCTCAATTTTTTTTGATTAAAAAAAAAGAGAGCTGGCTATGTTCCATGGCCCAGGAACCTGGATATAGCACATCTCTCAGTCCTGTGTCTAAAAATAATAAATATTTACGTGTAGGCCACCCTTCGTCAAACAGCCTAGTTACCAAAATTTCTGATTTGTTAGCTAAATAAAGCAACTACTGGTAGGTGAATAAAGCTATGTAGGTAATTTATCTCTCCTGTGTAGGCACCTGAAGATGTACCTGGCAATGAAAAAAAATGTAAGAGTGTAAATACTTCAAATATAAAATTTCCCCCTCCAATATTATATGTCGTTATTTTTACTTTTTCTCACGTTTAAAGAACTACGGTATATAAAAATACACAAGGGAAACAAAAATTGTAATTTTTCCATAGGTAATATGTTACCTATCATAATTTTGCAAAAGGCATTTATTTACCTTTATTAGCGTTTGATATGCAGTTTTTGTGTAAAAATTTTCTTTGGAAAAGACTTTGAACTGCAAAGGATTTTATCTGATTGGTTAGAATCTGTATTATTTGACCAATCAGATAAGGCAAAACAGAAAAGCAGCTCATTTCCTCCTTTAGAATGTCATATCACTTTCCCTTTTAACGTACAAATAAAAAAAATCAATTGCCTTGAACGTAACACTGTTATTACCTTGAAATCTAAGATATAGTTTACATCTTTCACCTGTGTATTTTTATATAAATAATAAATATTTACGTGTAAAAGGCCACCCTTCGAAAATTTTATATTTGTTACCAAAATTTCTTTTTTTTATTAAAAAAAGCAAGAGGGGTAGGTGAATAAAGCTATGTAGGTAATTTAATCTACGTAGCTAAATCTAGTGTCAGATTTTACCAGACCTGGTTGTCACATAAACATATGCAATGAGGTGATATTATAAATTGCATTAGCAATAAGGTTAGTAAAAAGAATTACCTCATCATTCTAACAGAAGGACAGCAGTATTGTTCGGATAGTTTCAACAATATTTTAGCTTGAAACATTGTACTTTGTTGTTTGTATTTTTTGCAGAACGGTCAAATAGAAAATGAAAGTAGAAAACGAACTCTTCCGTTCAAGAGGTAAAAAAGTGGACGCCCACCATCCAGCATGGAGTTGATTGTCACTGCGCCTGGTAAAGTTATTTTACACGGCGAACACTCTGTTGTTTATGGAAAGGTGAATTTCATATATGTTGTTTCAAGTTATTTTTAGACACCAAAGTTCCGTGGAGTAACTTTTTCCCTCAGTATTTTCCTTATTGTACAAAATTTAACAACAGAAGGCAGTCCTAGATTTTTCGGGAAGTTTATGATGTTTTCTGTTTCATTAGATATGCCACTATATTATTATTCAAGTGTAAGCTTTACTTTACGATTTGAACATTTATAAATCTACAGAAATTTGAAATCATTTTAATAAAATACTGTATATGAACATGAAACTTGCTTTGACTCTTTCAAACCGTGAAAAAGAGAATCATTTTAACCGTGTACTTTCACCATCTCCCTAGAAAGCCATAGCTGGTAGTTTAAGCCTTTGTACCACTGTCGAATTCAGAGCTTCAGATGTCAATGAAGTCACTCTAGCTTTTTCTAATTTGGACATTAAAGAGAAGATTGATTCTTCAGATCTCAACAAATTGGAGAGCTCTTTGACAGGTTTGTATTTTTAGTTACAATGCAATACTTTAAGTATTTCTTCATTCACCATTACTTACTAGGTTTGTTACTGACTGTCCAGATAAAGTACAGGGTTATTCTAGTCCATAGCAGGAGAAACAAAGCTTATCATTGTAAACCAAAGCCAAAATGTACGATCCTCTCCCATTCTGGCCATTGTTGAATGAGAAGAGAATTTTTGTAGCTCATTAAAATATGCTTAATATGCTTAAAATGGCTTAACATGATGTCACAATATAGAGTCATAAACATTTGAGATTATGACACTTTTTGTGATCAAGCAGCCACGGATAAGAGAGAGCTATATGCGGACTCTAGATAGACCGTGACTTGAGATGATTGGCAAAGTGCTCTAAGCTTTCTTGAGACTTTACACCTATGCAAATTTTAATAGGCATTCAGGAACATACTGTAAAAGCACAAATTTTCATGGGGATAAAATTTCGTTGATTTGTCATAAAAAATAGTTTTGTGGGCATTTAATTTCGTTGTTTTGAAAGTAACCCTATTCAATATATAGTCATATAAAATTTCGTGTTGGATTTAATTTCGTTGATAATTGTTAACAACGAAATAAATGAAATTTAATATTTGTGCTTTTACAGTACCTTAAAAAGTGATATGTTTTAATTCTCAAGGACAAATAAAGTTGAAATATCTGTTGGGATGTAGATGATTTCATCGTCTGTGTCTTGTCTCCTTCACTTGTCATTTTGATGTATACTATTCACCTTAAATTACTGAAAAGGGGCAATGCTCTAAATTTTGTTTGTAGGATTGCCAAAGTAGAAAGTTTTTGTTGAAGTGAAAATAATGTGAGCTTAATTTTTTCTGTAGATATGGATGAAATTACATTGTTTCATCTGCCATTAGTAACTGTCAAAGTTTACTAACATGCTGTCCAGTGAAATGTTAAATGGAGGCATGTGACATCCATTTTCTAATGACAGATTGTTGTTCTAGTCCAAGATAAAAAGAAAAGATTCATAATTTTTGTAGAAACATGTTATATACAAACATACTCTTTTGAAGTAAGATTAATTGAATCTTTTTTGATAAGTTACAAGCTATGGTGTACTTGTCTTTTTGTTTAATTCAGGTCAACAAGTTGATGAACCAACAATACCACCTGAAGATGTAAAGAGTTCATTGAAATGCCTACAGCTGAATGATGATACATTGGAGTCATCTTTGAAACAACTCACAATATTTACCACAATTTCTTTGTTTTGCTCCTTGAGGAAAATCTCGGGGTAATTTTGTGTTTAAAAAGTAAATTTGATAACTTTATTTTGATGAATGAATGAAATTTAACAATTCCAATACTAGTTTGATCTGAATTTTAACAAATTTTTATTATAAACATGTAATTACCGGTATATTAACACATGTATCACACAAAAAGATTGGAAATAATGTACTGGTATAAGAAACTTACAAATTCCTTATATGTATTAGATATAAGAAAAAATGCAGCTTCATTTTTACCTCGCTATTACGAAATATTTTCTGTACAGGAAACAGACTGGAGTACATATTGTTGGTCATTCGGATCTTCCAATTGGAGCAGGATTAGGATCTTCTGCCAGCTTTTCAGCTTGTTTGTCAGCTGGATTTTTAACTCTTTTTGGATTTGTACAGAAACCAGAAATTGTAGGAAATGGACCTATGGGATTCTGGTCAAAACAAGATTTAGAATTAATCAATAAATGGGCTTACTTTGGAGAGAGAATTATACATGGGACTCCATCAGGAGTAGATAACTCTGTGGCAACATTTGGTGAGTTACATACAGATTAACATTTATCGCCTTTTGAATAGAAATTTGTCAAGACTACATAATGTTGTCTCTTTGAAGGTGGGGCTATTCATTTTCAAAAAGGAACCATTACACCTTTACAGTCGTAAGTATACATAAATTTTTGTTTTTTGTGTACAAAATTTAGCAATATTATTTGAATTTTAAACAGTGCATGATTTTAATTCTGCAGTCACAAAACACTTTTTAGTGTAATAGAGATATTATGCATTGGTTAGATAATTTATTTCCTCAACAATTTGTTTCTACAGCATTCCACATATGAGAATTCTTTTGATCAATACAAAAATTTCTCGGTCTACAAAAAAATTAGTTGGATTGGTCAGAGAAAGAAAAGAAAAAGTGAGTTCAATTAATAGAAATTTTTATTTGGTAAGGAAAGTTACAAACATGAGTATAGAGTTTAAAACTTGATAGTATCCATGTGACCATCTTCTTTCTCCTTTAAGCTATAATGTCACAACATTATTATATTTTTTCAGAATCCTGAGATCTTTGAGCCAATTCTACAGTCCATGGATGAACTGACAAATGCAGTGATCAAGACTTATGGTGAAATTTCTAACAGCAAGGACAACCTCAACTCATTACCTTATTCTGATTTAGAGGTAATACTAGCACATTCTGACAAAGATATAATTGTCTAGCTGAAGAAGGAGTCATGCACAATAAGGTTGAGCAATGTGATTATTTAAATCTTCGATTACCGTATAAGTGGAAATTTTAGCGAGACACAAATTTAGCGATTTGCCCTGAAAAACTGGTAATTTATTTTTAGCGAGATGTTATTTAAGCGATTTTGAAATGAATGTTAAAGAAGTCATAACAAATAAATTGCAATTAATTTTTAGCGATATTCAATATTAGCGATCTAGGCACCTTCGCTAATAATGCCAAAATTAAATCCTCGCTAAAAATTCTACTTATATGGTATTCTGTCACACAGAACTGCACAAAGCAGTATACAGTAATTTAAATCTTGTTGCCATGTTTTTTGTAGGGCCTTGTAGATGTTAACCAGCACCTCCTACAGGCCCTGGGGGTCAGTCATCCTGCCCTAGATGACATTTGTCTGACCTGCCTTAGGTCAGGGTTCCATGCCAAGCTGACGGGGGCTGGTGGAGGAGGGTGTGCTTACTGTGTTATCAGGCCAGGTAAATAACTTACTGTGTTATCTGGTCAGGTAAATAACTTACTTTGTTATAAGGCCAGGTAAATAACTTACTGTGTTATCTGGTCAGGTAAATAACTAACTGTGTTATCAGGCCAGGTAAATAACTTACTGTGTTATCTGGTCAGGTAAATAACTTACTGTGTTATCAGCCAGGGTAATTAACTTAATGAGTTATCAGACCAGGTAAATAACTTACTGTGTGATCAGGCCAGGAAAATAACTTACTGTATTACCAGGCCAGGTGAATAAATAACTGTGTTATCAGGCCAGATAAGTTATTGTGTTATCAGGCCAGGTCATTAATTTACTGTGTCATCCAGCCATGTAAATACATGTAACTTAGTGTGTCATCCAGCCATGTAAATAACTTAGTGTGTTATCAGGCCAGGTAAATAAATAACTGTGTCATCAGGCCGGGTAAATACCTTACTGAGTAATCAAGCCAGGTAAATTACTTACTGTGTGATCAGGCCAGGTAAATAACTTACTGTGTCATCAGATCAGGTAAATAACTTACTGTGTAATCAGGCCAGGTAAATAAATTACAGTGTCATCAGGCCAGATAAATAGGTTACTATGTTATCAGGCCAGGTAATTAACTCTCTGTGTTATCAAGCAAGGTAAATAACTTACTGTGTTATCAGGCCAAGTAATTAACTTACCATTTTAAAAGGTGAGGTAAATAACTAAATGAGTTATCAGGCCTGGTAAATAACTTACTGTGTTATCAGGTCATGTAAATAACTTACTATGTTATCAGGCCAGGTAAATAACTTACTATGTTATCAGGCCAGATAAATAGGTTACTGTGTTATCAGGCCAGGTAAATAACTTACTGTGTTATCAGATCAATTAATTAACTTACTGTGTTATCAGGCCAGGTAAATAAATAACTGTTTCATCAGGCCAGGTAAATAACTCTCTCTTATCAAGCCAGGTAAATTACTTACTGTTTTATCAGGCCAATTAAATAATGTACTGTGTAATCAGGCCAGGTAAATAACTATCTGTGTTATCAGGCCAGGTAATTATCTTACCATTTTAACAGGCCAGGTAAATAACTAAATGAGTTATCAAGCCAGGTAAATAACTTACTGTGTTACCAGGTCAGGTAAATAACTTACTGTTTTATCAGCCAGGGTAATTAACTTAATTAGGGCCCCGCAAGGATTTGCGGGTGCCCTATAGTAATCACTCTGTTGTTATGTCTGTCCCTCTGTGTGGTCTGTCATTCTTCCGTCCACAAATTTTCTGTTTTTTCCTAATAACTTTTTTATGGTAGCCCAATTAAGTTCAGATTTGGTATGGTAGTAACTCTGTGTGATCAGGCAAAAAAACATATTTTGATGCTAAATTTGTTTCAGGCTATGTCCTCTGGTTTGGAGCTGGGGTGGTGGGTCATAGATTCCTTAACTTTATGTTATAAGAATGAATTGGTAAAGAGAGATAACTTCTGAAAGTGTTCCCATTGTAAACTGAATACTGCAATGAATGAGTCCCTTGGGTTTAATTAGCTTTCCTCCTGAAGAAAATCCAAAGCATTATCTTTATCTGTCTTTATCTGTCACATTGAGATTAATTACCACCTCTGTCTGCAAATGAAGTTTGTTTTGAAGTTAAGTCCATTTAAGTGGATTGAAGTATTAATGTTTTTACTGTTTTTTTGTTGAAATACCCTACACAATGTGTTCTGATTTCATTGAATTCTTAAAACAAGAAATAGATTAAAGAAAAAATATATTTTATTTATTTATTTTTTTTCTTGCTTCATGTAAATTCAAGAATATTATTAATTTTTAAGGTAGTAGGATAAAAACATCATTCTATCATTACTGAAAAAGTTCTTATTATAAATTCAGAAGAAAATGATAAGAGAGAATTAATCCCTTGGGATTAATTATCTAGTCTGCTGCAGAAAATTTAGAAGGCTTATCTTTATCTGTCTCTTTAAGATTAATGAAAACCTTAGTCTGCAACTGCTGTTTGTTTCATTGAAGGCTGGCATTTTATGTAACACAGGCTTCATTATTGTTTAGATATACATTCAGTGTTGAGTTGTTCTTTACTGCCTTATGTAAATACAATTGCTGTTTCTTATTTGTCATATATTTTTGAATCATTCCATAAGCTGCACCCTTATAATTCTACCCATAGTGGGGCCCTTGCTAACTGGTCAGTTTTCTAGTTCATTCATTCATTCATCTTTAATTTCCTCTATGATGAGATACAGAATTAAGGATTAAGGTAAATAAGGTAAATAACTTACTTTGTGATCAGGCCAGGTAAATAACTTACTGTGTAAATAGGCCAGGTAAATAACTTACTGGGTTATCAGGCCAGGTAAATAACTTACTGTGTTATCAGGCCAGGTAAATAACTTACTGTGTTATCAGGCCAGGTAAATAACTTACTGTGTGATCAGGCCAGGTAAAAATATTTTTTTTAAACTTACTGTTTTATCAGGCCAATTAAATAACGTACTGTGTAATCAGGTCAGGTAAATAACGTACTGTGCTATTAGATCAGGTAATTAACTTACTGGGTTATCAGGCCAGGTAAATAACTTACTGTCTTATCAGGCCAGGTAAATGACTTACTGTGTGATCAGGCCAGGTAAATAACTTACAGTGTCATCAGGCCAGGTAACTAAGTTACTGTGTTATCAATTGCAAGCCAGGTAAATAACTTACTGTGTTATCAGGCCAGGTAAATAACTGCATTTTCAGACCAGGTTAATAACTTTCTGTTTTAAGTTTCAGTCACATCATTCAGCGATTGGGTATACGATGGGCAACCAATGCGTTTTTTGATAAAAATGGCGTGGTTGCTGACGGGACTTACAAAGGCCCAGCGATGCATTGCTTATCATAAATCGATGTTCCAGGGTAATCGGCCGATGTATATAACATCGCTCATAGATTGGTGAACATCGTACGTCGGTCGACTATGGCCCAGTATGGGCCAATGTTTGGTCGAACATCGACCGATCATCGGCCGATGTCTGTTGCCCACCACTCAACCCCCGGATGACCGTAGAATCAACGGACACTTGACGATCCTCGGCCATACATAGGCCAATCCTTGAAAGATGTGTTAATGATGGGTTGCCAGTGAGGAGCGATGTGGGGCATTGATGGAGACATCGCTGATTTTTAACTAGCCTACAACTTATTTTCTACCGATTACCCCAAACTGATTCGCCAAATGGCCTCAGTCACCGTCCGATAACTATAGGTGTCCGGTCGGCAACCACGCCATTTTTAAAAAAAAAAAAACGCATCGGTTTCTCGTCGTATATCCCATCGCTGGATAATGTGACTGATACTTCGTTTGGCTAGTTAATTAACTTAATGTGTCATCAGGTCAGGTAATTTTATTGAAAGGAAATTAATGAATGTATTACTTCATAGAGCTAAAAATTTATCTATTCAAACCTCTTCATTTTCAATACCATAATGAGGAAAATGAAAAAAAGTATTTCTTGGCAGAATAAATATAACCTTAACTTCTTTGAAACGGCATTAAATAAGACCAAAACATGAGAAAAAAGTGTTGATGTTTTGAACAAACTGTCAAAATTCCACCAAGGATTTTCATTAACATTTATTCTTTATGAAATCATACATCCTGGTATTTAAATTCACACTTTTCCTTGATGTTAACCCTTATCATTCTTCTATGATTTATGTGCATGCAAATTGCAAAAATGAGCGTGTAAAATTAAGGTTTTATATACAGAAATAAATTAATCTATAATTTACTGTTTGTTTTGAACATAAAAATTAAAAATTTGATATGCCTCGATAAAATTGAATATTATAATTATCAATTATTCCTTGACCTTGTGCCACATAGCTGATACATGTAGATACCGTGATGTTTCTTTAGACTATTAAAACAAATCATTAGATTCATTCTGAAATCACGAGGTTTATCAAATATGTATGAAATTTATTAACTTTGGATTTACGTTAATTTATGCCTGACCTTGTGCCGGTTGTTAGGAAGTACCGAACCTAAAAGTTTACATGTTTATAAATATTTGGTCAATTCACGCCGAGATCATAAGATCTGAGAAATATTTACGTATACAAAAAACATTCCAGTTTTAATTTTAAAGTACTCATGTTAATTGTAATAGTAATGAATTCATTAACATATAAGAATTCGGTCTGTGTACTGGAAATAAAAACATAAATGACGTAGCAATAAAATGTAGAGCAATACCAACTATAGCTGACATAAAAGGAGATGACGTATACGTAAATACTAGTACCTTTAGATCATAGAAAAAGGCTACTACAGGCACGAAGCATCCGGAGGGGTGGGGGTTGGGGGCTATATAAAATGTTCATCGAAAGTCCGGCCCCCACCTTTTGTTGTTTTGTCCCCCCCCCCCCCCCCAACACACACACACAAACGAAAAAGGATTTTTCCAAGACATAACATTTACTATATAAAGTGTTCATCGAAAGTCCAGTTGAAATATCACCAACAGCAAACGTGTTTACTGTACGTGTATGTTTCTCGTTTTGCAGTATTAAATATTGTTAAATTAATATTAAACAATCTTCTTTACCTTTAAATATCTTTTATTTAGGTGTTTCTGAGGATGCTGTCGAGGCGATAAAATTAGAAATGAAGAAAAGAGACTACGAGTGTTTGGAATGTACGCTAGGTGGAGCTGGTGTAGCACTGAAGTCGCCAAGATGAGTGACGATTGTGAATGGTGTAAAAGAGGTCATGCAAAGAAACGCTGAATCCTGAGACACAAAACTGCTCATTGTTTCATGCAAACGGTTCGGTAACTGTAAATAAATTTGAATCGTTACCATCATGGGCACTAAAACAGTTATAGACGAAACACCCCTTTGTCCTTATAAGGAGAAATGGCCAATTTTAGTTTTGGGGTGAATCTGCATCAAGAAGGATTGTTTCTATTAGCAATAAATTAATGTATATATGTAATGAAATTAACTTGTTTCATTTTTTGTCTGTTCTGAATTATCTTTGAAGCCATGAAAAACTTATTATGGGCGACAGCAAGGGCATAAAAACGTTAATTCAAAACGAAAGTATATTTTGCAAAAAAACAGTCCGAAGAGAAATGTAAAACAAACAGGTTAAAATAAGTTCAATAGACTGAATTGCAGAATCGATAGACTCCGTTGCAAAATGAAGGATCGCCGATGAAAAAAAGAACAACAATCATTCACTTTATGAAACGTGAACAACTGACTGATGAAATATATGGAGATAACAAAAGTATTCAAGCTAAAAAGTCCATAAAACAATACAAAATAGGAGCAGAGCATGCAAACACGGAACTCCAAAACATTAGAGGTGGGATCAGGTGCCATGGAGGGGTGAGCATCCCCTGCTTACCGGTCACATCCGCTCCTTGTGCTCCTTGTTATGATTGGGAAATAACGGGAAAATCCGTCGTCAATTCAATGTGTAAATAATGAACAATAAGTTTGAAAAACGTCAGTCAGCATTTGACTCAATGATGAATTGTATTTGCTGACAAGGTCATTGTATCGACCATAGAACTTACGAAATGATGACCTTAAACAAGACTGCTGATATTCTTGTTTCATCAATTTGTTTGCCAATAATTTACCTCGTTTTAGAAATTGTTCATACGTAGAGCATGCTCTTGCCTGTCGAATCAACTGAGATAAATGAACTCCGTATGCAAGTGATGAAGGAAGATTGCTGCATAAGTAAAGGAAGTTGACGATAGAAAAGTTAAAGTCATCACGATTATCATAGAGCTTGGTTGTTAGATTACCATTAACGTCTTTTTCAAGTAAAATGTCGAAATATGAAACAGATGTGTCAGACTCTGTGGTTTCTTTCATCTCAAGCTCACCGGGATATGTCGTATCGACATAAGAATGGATATTACCATTGTTAATAGACAATACGTCGTCGAGATGTCTAAATGTCGAGTTGAAGGCCACTGCAAGTGTTTTCTTCTTTTCAATTGGTACCCATGGGAATTTCAATAGACTGTTGTCCAAAAATAACACAGATATTGTCAATCAGAAACTCAAGCAATTTTTTTATGTCAACTTCAGAGTACTTATGTCCACAGGCGCTTGACGTTTTTAATCTTTCTTTTCATAAATAAAGACATCCCCTATACTATAATGATAACTTGTTATTACATATAATAATCTATAGTATGTCTCTGTTACAGTATAGGGGGCATTTTTATTTATTTAAAGAACGATGTCAACAGCCTGTGCTTATGTGTACAATCAGAATGTTTTTTTTTTAACAAAATGATTTTGCAAATGACCATTGACAAGGTAATTTAATTTACGAATTCCATTTTTATTGAAAAAGCAGTTGTCAATCATATCAAAAAGTTTTGATTTTATTTTATCGTTGGGGTTTGAAGATTTACTGGAACCCGTTAAGTACCTTTGTTTGTACGGATTCTGAATCCAGTTTATATATTGTAGTTCAAATTCATAAAAAAGATGATAGTTAGGTTTTTATACCACTTCCACTGCCCTTTACTTACGCATTTGAGGTGTTTGTTTAACAATTGAAAGGAATGAATAACAAAACGGAAGTTACTTATTAGGAATATAATCGAAACGCATACATGTGTACAATCATAATACAAATATTTAATTTCAAACGAGAACAAATTTTAATTCGCCATGGCATGGTCTACTTGCGACGAATTTAAAAGTTTAATTAGCTTTCAACATGTAATTTGTAAAGTGTCAAAGAATTTGTAATACAAATTCTGTGGTTATTTCATTAGCATTGTCATCTTTATCTCGCTCGTGTTGAAGGAGATATTGTCGAATTCATATTGTTAACGGAAAAAAAAAGAAAAAAAGAGAAAACATCCGACATTAATTGTGACAAATGGTTGACACTGTTCAGGATTTTTAACGGAATTATAAATCTGCTTTTTAAAGTTTCAGCATACAAATTAACAAAACAATGCATCTGCTATAATTGCACACTATTCCTGCTCTTGTTCAACTTGTCAGCTTAATACATTACCACTAGATGAAGGAGGACGTTGATGAGGAAACTTAAAATTGTGTTTAATGATGGACAATAAAGGCAACACCTGCATTTGTCTCATGCAAAGTTCAGTATCATTTAATAAATTTCTTATTTCAAAAATAATCAAATTTATGCTTTATAAATCCCACTTTATTCCCGCAACAGATCAAGGTACATTTGATATACTACATGTATTTATGTGTATAGCAAAGTTCAATGCCTAAAAGCCTAAAAGCAAAATAGAAATACAGTGTAATTAGGATATGTACAAACTATCTTAAATTACTATTTCACAACTTTTATTGACAATGTATACATCATTTACATTATGATGAGATCTATGGATAAAAGACAAAATAATGGTATAAGTTCAATCACTGGACAAAAACAACACAGACAAAAATAATGATCCTGTTAACAGACTGGAGAGAAATAGTGTCGGTGACGATGATCTCAGCGATGAAGATGCTTGAGTCAATGAAATATTCACTGCATTAACACCGGAATCTGTAGATAATGTGTTATTTGGAGATTCATTGACTATAATTTTTTCCTCACTATTGTCTGCATAAATTTCATCACTAGATGTAGTACTTTCCGTGGCATTACTTTTCTGCTCTGAATCTGCAGAATTGTTTCCGTTTGCAGCAACAGTAGTAGTTTGTGTGTTTTCTTTTTCTTTAAAATATGTTGGTGTTTGTTCATCTGCTCTTGAATTATTGCTTAAGTCCATGTCGTCATCTTCAAAAGAGTTTGTAGATGGCAATGAGGTAGAATTTGCATTTGATTGAAACTCTTCTGATGACGCGGTGAATGTTGATTGGATGTCTGATGATATTATGGTTGCCTGTGATTGGATCTTTTGAGGAAATGTGATCATTGGTTGAGACTCTTTTGAAGATGAAGTTGTCATTGGTTGGCTGTCTTGTGATGAAGTGCTTGTCGTTGATTGGATCTCCTGTGTTGACGTTGCTGATTGGATCTCTTGTGATGACGTCATTATTGACGGGATTTCTTGTGATAGTGTTGTCGTTGATTGGATTTCTTGTGATGACACATGCCTTGTTGTTTGGATTTCAGATAACAGACTTTTGGGAAAATGATCAATTCCCACATCTTTGAGAATGGATTGGACTATAGACACCCAATTTCGGTCTGCTTGTCTTGGCATAATGATTGAATCATCTACAAATTCGTCAGAAGTCTTTAGAACAGATAAACATTTCCCGCCTAGAATCACGTGATAGGCACCTATGTAATCCCGGAGGTAACCCCTGCATGAACGTATCTTTTCCTTATAACATGTCGCTGTTGCAGCTGATATTCTAAAAGAAAAAAAAAACAGAACATTTTTTACTTTTTGGTGGTCCTGAATATTTTTCTCTACAAGAAAGGTAAAAATTTTATCAACCAGCTCCAAAATGTGCGATTTACAATAAATGGATTATCAGCAAAGTCTTTTAAAGTATACAAATAAATAAAAACAACAAGAGTGTTTGACTTATTCCATGGTTTGAAGTAATAAAAACACTTCAAAAAATTTAAGCTATCGTATCTACATGCATCTTTATTCACAGTTCCAGTATGACTGTTCATTAACAAAAAAATCCTCTTTCGTGGTGCATTGCAGTTCATGGGATTTATATGAAGCTGAGTTGCTTTTTTACCAATTTTGAGTTTACTAAACGTTACTAATTGATGTGGGTGCATTTTTAAATTTGACATTAGAATTTTGTTTAAATTTTAAAAAGTTGTTACTTAAAAAAAAAAAAATTATGACAGCGGGTACAAAACTTTTAATTTAAAACCTAATATCTTCTATAACATGCATCTACTAGTACATGTATATAAGATGTCAAAATACATGTATTGCAAATCAGAAAGTAAAATCGTAAATGTGCGAATGGCAGTTGATATTTACTAGAATATGTGAGGAACATAGTAACTTTAACAACAATTTTAAAAGTTTCCAAAGAAAGTTAACACTTACATGCAGGCCAACCTCCGAGCATCATGACCATTCGTCGTGTTTTGTAAGTACATTTCCGTCAATGTTTGCCTGAGTGGCATGGTCAAAGATTTAACACATCTTTTGGCGCGCTTTAAGCTAGATGACTTGATGCATTTTAACTTCTTCCCAAATTCTATTGAAATTACAATTAGAAAAAAAACAGTAATTTGATAGAATATTTCAAAGATAACAATGATACATTGAAGAGCAAGATCATCAGAAATGAACACAGAACGACTTCAATTTTTTGGACCAAGTTCCTACTTTAAAATATATTACTTTTTAGTTTGTTGCACATGGCAACTGATGTTCTTCTCGCCATTGTTGAATCAAACGTCATGGAAAAGAACCAATCCGATGGACTCCGCAGACTGTTACTTTCTAAAGACCTCTCTACGCATGGCAACACTTTTCTATGTACCCTAGAATTAAGATGTAATGTTATCAATAAATACATTCTCCCAAATTGAATATTTTATACACTGTAACTAACAAATTCGTCAACTTTATACCAGATCCTATCCTTTTTTATACTAATCTATTGAAAAGTAGCGCATTTTGTATATACAGTGAAAACTGTCTAATCTGACACTTGTGTAACCCATCACACTGTAAATTCCGACCTAAAATTTCTTTCCCATTTGACTAATTTTAATGTTATTTTTACACTTTGCAATCCAGTACACTGTCTATTCCGACACAAAATTTGCCCCCCCCCGTGCATGTCGGTTTAGACAGGTTTCACTGTATTATTTTCTTTTAAAAACTCATTTCATGCAATTGATACGGGTCTATTGCTTCTTATGGAAAGTTAACGATATAAAAGTTGAAATCACCGTTCATCATAAATTTGTAAACTACTGTAAGGTTACAAAATCATTTTCAGACCAGCTGTCGTGCTCCATGTCCGAGAACACAGGTGCTTTTGATTTGCGTAAACTTCAGACATTCGAACTTTTGGACTTTGTATAAGATTTTCTAGTATGTATTGTTGTAACTAACTCTAATAATTGTTGATCTTGTAAATTTAAGCATATACTGTATATCAACAGAACCAAATTGCATTGTTTTATTTAGTGTTGGCTTATCATTTTGCACCCTTTACATTGATAATTCGTTCCATTTCGTTTTCATTTATAGTGTGACAAAAATGAATTTAGCATGTAAATTAATGTAATTTGTTAAAAGCTGATTGTTTAACATGTCATTTTTATTAACACTGTTATTTGAAACATTGTCCAAATGCAATTTTGTATTTCCATTACATCTGAAATGAATAGACATTTACTGACGCATGAATGACATGCATTTTTTCGACTGTTCAAGGAGAGGTTCGTTGACTTAGTACCAGATTATTTCCTTTTTAATTAATCTTTGGAAAAGTAGTGTATTTTGTACTTATCATTTTCTTCACGTTTATCGATTGAAATTCCTATAAATTTTATTAGTATTACCCAAAACATAAATAAACATGTAAAATGTAGGGATGTGAAAGGACAACGGTTATCATAAAAACAGCAACCTAGCCCAAAAGTGTAATGAAACACTAATAGTTCAGTAGAAGATCAAACACGAACCTCTTAAACATCAGAGGTTGGACCAGATGTCACGGAGGAGTTAGCATCCCATGTAAAGAGGTCACAACCACCCAATGGGGCAAACGGAAAATCCGTAGATAATCCAATGTGTACAAAATGGCCTAATAATAACCATGGAAAATACGTCAGTTGGCATTGTCTCAATGATAGATGGTATTTGCTGTCAAGGTCATTGTATCGACCACAGAACTTGTGAAATATTGTGTATTGAATCACTTGCTGAAGATATAAACTTCATTTGAAAAACATTTTTCTGTTTGTCTGATTAAGACAAGGAACACACGACAGTTGTGACTGGTTGCCATAAGATGCTTACTCCATCATGACACCTGGTCCCACCTCTGCTGCTTTAAGGTCCATGTTTGATCTGCTTCGAATTACGTTTCCATGCCGTTAAGGACAACCTAACGACAAAATATGAGAAACCTGATAACCAACTTCTCCATCGGCAACCTTTCTTACTTAGGTAGCAAGATACCCTAATCACTGCAAATAGGGTTTACGTCTCCTATCTGATTCGTTACACAAGAGCATGCTCTACCTACGATATTTTTTTTAAACGAGGCAAGCTATTAATCAACAAGTTGATGAAATAAGGATATCAACAGTCTCGTTTAAGGTCAAGTTTTTGGTCGATACAATGACCTTATCAGCAGATACAGTCTTTCATTAAGAGAAAAGCCGACTGACGTTTTCCGTACTAATTGTTAGGCCATTATTTACACACTGAACATTCTACGGATATTTCTTAAAGCGATCATAACAAGGAGCACACGGCGCGTAGGAACGGTCGGCAAGGGATGCTCAGTTGCTCACTCCTTGATATTTATTTGCTCTGCTCCTAATATGTTTAGTTTGAATGTACTTTCGAGCTTTGTTACTGTTAGTTATTCCCATATTTCATGCAGGTGATAAAGTACCTTACGACATATAAAAGGGAAGGTGAGGAAAGAAAAGTTGAAGTCAACTGTTATCAAGAAGTTTTGCACTCAGATTACAAAATTATTTTCAGATCAGCTGCGCCACTTCTTGTCTGAGAATATGCTTTTGGTTTGTTTAAAACTAGTCGTTTTATTGTGTCATTTTCCAATTCCTTCATTCTGAACTGTTGAACTTTGTATAACATTTTCTATGCATTGGTGTGACTGACTCAATAAACTGTTTACCTAGTTAATTTATGTGTACATATCAACAGAACCAAAATGTTTTCTTTTTATATATATGTAGTTTATTATTTTACACCCTTTAGAATGATAATTCGTTCCATTTCGTTTTCGTGTATAACGTTACAAAAGTGAAATTACCATGTAAATTAATGTATATGTAATTTGTTAATTGCTATTTGTTTAACAGGTCGTTTTTTCTTCTTACACTGTTATTTTAAAGTTTAAGGACAGATGATACAAACAATTTTTTTTCTTTGGAGGAGATTAAATATCATGTCACAAGTTTAGAAAAGTGGATAATTCTTAGAATTTTTCTCCTAAGAACTGGAAAATGAAATACACTTGTAAAATATTACTAATATTTCAAAAAAAAAAAAAAAAAAACAAATATTGACAAATCACACTCGGTAAAAGTTTATAGGTGAAAACAAATTTCAGAATATGTTACCTTGGTACTAAAAATATAATATAAACTATAGAAAAGTATACCAAGCCAGGTGAATTTTATTAGGAAAAGCATAATTGTATAAATCATCCTATATCATATGGGCTGATTTTTACCATTTTGCTTTTCCTCATAAAATTCACCAGGCTTGGTATATTTTTCTAAAGTTTATATTACACTTTTAGCACCAAGGTAACATATTTTGAAATTTATCTTCATCTGTAAACCCTTATTGAGTGTGTTTTATCCATTTTTAGAATTCTATTGAAATATTACTAATATTTTCCAAGTCTATATTTCATTTTCCAATTCTTAGGAGAAAAAATTCTAAGAATTATCCACTTTTCTAAACTTGTGACATGATATTAAGTCTCCTCCAAAGATAAAATTTGTTTGTATCATCTGTCCTTAAACATATCCAAAAGACAAAGTATTCTACGATTATGTCTGAAATGAATTCACATTTATTGACGCAAGAATGACATGCATTCTTTCGAATGTTCAAGGGCAAATGAAAATATCATGATCCTAACAAAGTACCTATATATCTTAATTTATATTTGACACATGACCCTTAAACGCGTCAGGATGAAAGTGCAAATTCCTATCATTGTATATATATTTTTTAATTAAAATAATAGAATTCTTAGAATTCGAAATTTGATCATAGCTTATTCATTCTCTTATAAATAAATCCTACAGTTTTCAAATTACCAGGCATTTATACGGGTAATATTCTAGTAGGTATTTTGTGAAAGACTTACGAGCACCATTTCCAAACAGAGTTGGAGAATTTGTTGCGGTAACGATTTGGAGTTCTACTGTAATAACCAACGTTCTTCATGCAGTTTCTTAGAGCATCATTTGGCGAGGAGGGCGAAGTCCCTGATTTCATGAAAGACATAACACTTATCACTGAGCACAGGAGACATAGCAGACATAAAGTAATACCTGAAAAAAGAAAAAAGGAATTAAATGATATACATGTACATTCAATATATTTTTTATCACAATTACGATGCACTCATGCAGCAGCACATTATGAATTGGTGAATTGATAATAATAACAGGTCAATTAATAATTTTAAATAAGACTGGAATTTCATTAACGACATGAATAATCCTTTCTGAAATTTTTCGCACATTTGTCAGAGGCCTTTTAAATTGGTGAAATAAAGGAAACCTCTAAAAAAGCAAATATTAATAAAAAGGACAAATGTGAAAAAGACAAATGTGAAAAAGGCAAATGTCTTAACTGATTTTAATACATTTAAATTCTAATTTTCTATTTAAAACTTCATATCTATTTTGTAACATTATCTTGTCAAAGATTTATTATACCAAATTAGGTAGTATACCAAACAGATTTGTAATCCATCTATAGCTCCTACAGGAATACAGTTTGAATTATATGATCTACTTTCATTATTAATTTGACAAGACTTAAGAAATAAATAAAATGATTAAAGAGGAGAAATGACTCCTAAAGTGACAATGATGATAGTTATTACAAGACCGTGTATAACAATGCATGCAAATCTGCAAAACCATATGTCTTGTCCGTCAACTGTGAGTTTCATTTTTCTTTTAATACATAGTTATCATTAGAATAAAGAGAGTTTGGTTTCAGTAAAAGTATATTTATCTGTGATTCATTATTTCCATTGCTCTAAATGTCTATTTTTGATATACCATGCCAAGATTTTTACATTAACTTATGATTTGTAAGATTATTACTTCATTATGTTTTATTAAAGATATAATGATAAACCTCATCCATTAAATTATATTAAAGAAAAGGTAATTACAAGCTTTCATTTAAATTAAGTTATAATTAAAGAATTTCTTAAATAGAAAAGTAGTTATATTCATTTCTTAAACGAGAAATTCGTTGCAGAAATAGACTTTAAATGATCTTTTCAGTCCTTTATTTAATCTAGAGTGATAAGTGCCGATCGCAAGGCTAAATTTGGAAACCGCCACCAGCAAGTTACAACCAAAAAATACAAACGCTACTGAAAGTCATAAGCCCTGTGTACAGGTCTAAATTTGCAGTCAAGCAACGACAAACGGCCCTTTTTTTTTTTTTTTTTTTTTTTTTTTACAGTTTACGGCTTACTTTTACACCAGGGAAGTGTATGGAAGCTCTTTTACGATATAAATATTTAGCTCAACATTTAATTAAATGAAAATAACGGGCTATTCAAAGCATAAATAAGTTGCCTTTGAAGAACACAACAACCGCGTGTAAGATTTTGGACAAATTCTGCTTCATATGAATAAAAAATAGGTCTGTTAATAACGGACGCAATAAGTACCCATGGGAACTCCAGTAGATTGTTGGGCAGACCTGGTCTCAAAAAACAACATCAGATATTGTCAATGAGAAACTCTTTTTAATATCAACTTCAGAGTACTTGTGTGTACAAATTGTTTTTTTTTTTTTTTTACAGATTAATCTTCCAAATGACCAATGACAAGCTAGGTTAGTAAATTTACGAGTACCATTTTTTTATTGAAAGAGCAGCTGACAATGAAGTCAGAAAGCCTGGACTTAAATCTATCATGGGGAATAGTTGCATATTAAGTTAAAAAGTCTTCAGTTTTTGTGTTGTTGATACATGTATTCGTAAAATTTTGTGATTTCAAATGTTCCAATAGTCTTAGAATTTTCTAATATCAACAACTGATTTAATTACTCCTCGAATATATTGCTGTACAGTGCTCTATAAAAGATGATTGACACAGTGTAAAAATCTCTCTTTCAGACATGTTCATACAATTATTTTTAGACATAATCTAAATAAATTGATAATTTTTGCCGACAACTGAAATATATGCATAAATGTTCCTAAATGATTGGTTAATTATTTTTTTTTCAAATCTCTATTACTGTTAAAAAATATTCTGTGTTAGTATATTATTGAGAAACAACCTTAAATTAACTCACATTAATTATAATAATAAAAGAACATAAAATAAATACAAGCATCTATTTGTTATGATATTATACGAGATAAGTAGTTATTCCTTTTATATCTTAACTTTAAAATGATAAGAACTGTTATTTTTTATATGGGAAAAATGAAAACATGTGCATAAATTTAAAATTAAGATAATACCCGAACAAGTCAACATTGGAACATGCACATACCTTTCATTTTAGCTGCCGTCTTAGAAACAAGAAGCTGAGTGAAGAAAAATGGACATTCGTGTGAGATTAGCATCAGTGTAACCTCATGAGCTAGAACTGTCAAGACCACGTGCCTTAGATTTATTACATTTAATTTATTCAAACAGTAATAAATATGCTAATGAGAAAGGTAATTATAAAAGTGAAAAAAAGAAAACCTCGCGGTGTAACATGCAATAACATGTCTTTTAAAGTGGCTGAGGTATCTACATAATGTCGACGTCACATTTCATCTTTTCGTTAAGGCTGGCAAAATATCATGATTTTGTCGATTATTTGATGATGACAACTGATGCAGTATGTATCTAAATGTGATCAATCTATAGAAAGTAATCTCAATAAGGATCTAATGTCTCTTGAATAGTGGTCAAAGAAATTTTTGATAACATTTAATCCCCCGAAAACTTTCAAAAACGAAGGTTGTATTTTTCAGCACAAGAAAAAAACATAGAACCCCCAAACTCCTTTTCCGAGATAACCAATTAGAATATGTGCAAACTTCTAAATATATATGGAGGATGAACTCTTTTCATAAGTTGGTTATCTCACTTCGAAATTTTATTGTATAATGCATACGAAAATGGGTATATAAAAACAAATTCAATATAAATTGAAACAATCTTTCACTGATGTATGCAGCTATACTTTATTTTATTCGTCCTCAACTTGAAAAAAAAATTAAGAGAAATTTCAACTACACGCAGCTCGGGTTGTGACCCACTTAACTTTAATTGCATCTAGTGATTCTTTGTACTTTGAAAAGGGCTGGGAACCTCCCAACAATATAGACACAAGATCCACAAATTGAATTATATTTACGTTACCAAATATGACATGTTCAGCAAGGCTTTAGTTGAAGGATGATTAAGAGAAAGATTAAGACTTTAAAGGAATATGTTCCAGATGATCGATATCTAGGCAAAAGTTTTTTAACGCAATAGCCGACGTATGTTTGGAAGATATACAAAATTGTAAACCTCATCTAAAATGTGGTGGAATACATCAATGAACAATTTTTGTAAATAGAATTAAGACATCGTTTATAATAGTTTTTAATCATTGTAAGACGGGCGCCCATAATTACGCTTACATCTCTGTGTATTATTAAAAAGTGCCATCACATTCATAGGGTTTTTAACCCCCCAGTCTGGTATTCCACCATATTTCAAGTTAAAGACTACACCTTGTATTTCCTAAAATATACATCGACTATTGCTTTCAAACTTTTAGATTACAAGAAAACTTTAAGGGGCCTGGATATCGAATATCTGAAACATAATCCCACATCGTGTACATGTTCTTCTCCCCCCTATAACTATAGTCCTGCTGGACATGTTATGACAGGTGACATTAATATATATACGGAACCTTGATCCTTCAAGTGGCATTGGAATTTCATGAATATTATGGATTCTGTAGAAGATTATACGGAAGCCCATTTAGGACCTATCAAAAAATATTTTTGAATTCGTTATAACGATTTTTAGAATTCGTTATAACGAATTTAATTTATTATAACAAATTATTGAATTCGTTATAACGAATTTATTTTGTTATAACAGATTCATTGAATTCGTTATAACGAATTTAATTTGTTATAACAGATTTATTGAATTCGTTATAACGAATTTAATCTGTTATTACAGATTTGTTGAATTCGTTATAACGAATTTAATCTGTTATTACAGATTTGTTGAATTCGTTATAACGAATTTAATCTGTTATTACAGATTTGTTGAATTCGTTATAGCCAAATTTCTTAAACGAGGTAAATTATTGACAAGCAAGTTGATGAAACAAGAATATCAACAGTCTTGTTTAAAGTCATCATTTCGTAAATTCTATGGTCGATACAATGACCTTGTCAGCAAATACAATTTATCATTGAGTCAAATGCTGACTGACGTTTTTCATACCAATTGTTAGTCCATTATTTATACACTGAATTGACGACGGATTTTTCCCGTTATTTCCTGATCATGACAAGGAGCACACGGCGGGTGTGACCGGTTGGCAGGGGATGCTCACTCCTCCATGGCACCTGATCCCACCTCTGATGTTTCGGAGGTCCGTGTTTGCTCTGCTCTTATTTTGTATATTGTTTGATGGACGTTGAGATTGAATACTGTTCGTTATCTCCATATCCTTCTTATAACGAATTCAATAAATCTGTAATAACAAATTAAATTCGTTATAACGAATTCAATGAATCTGTTATAACAAATTAAATTCGTTATAACGAATTCAATGAATCTGTTATAACAAATTAAATTCGTTATAACGAATTCAAAAATATTTTTTGATAGGTCCTAAATGGGCTTCCGTAAGATTACGTCAGGTGATGGGACAGATATGAAATAGAAGACGTTGACTCTTCGTCAGAATGGATTAAATGTATCAGATCTATGTTACAATCGCATATTAAAAGGTTGAGGGGCAATATGAAAACCACCTATCTTTATGTATTCTATAATCCAGCAGTGAAAAGAGAACATCCTCAGTACGTACTGCCTGCTGACAAAGCAGGTAACAACATTGTCTTTGTTTGAAAGGCTCATTACATAAATTGTATTTTAGAATAACGTGGATTTAATTCTACAAGTGGTAATCCAACCCCTACTCATAGTTCCCTCTCTAAGGAAGAAATTCTTCAAAATTAAGTCAGACTTAAATATTTTTAATACACCAAACAACCAAAATGCAAAATGAATTTGAATTACTATATCTTTATCGGATTCCGAAACTTCATAGAAATACTTACATACAACAATACATAACGGGTTCCAGTCAATGTTCAACCAAGCCTCTTTCTTTACTCATCACTAAGATATTAACAGTAGTGAAGGAGAAACTTCAAGAGTAAGGTCACGACTACGGTGCAACAACATATTCGAGAAAAAGTGTAAATCAGATGTGGAATTTAAAATTTCAAGAAACTTTTAGAAAATTTGAAATTACAAGATTTTAACAAAAATCAACAGCTTAAAAAATTTGACTTTATACACAAACAATACACAAACATTCGTCACAATAAATTCAAGTTTAGGTGTTTTTTTTTTAATTTTTAACCTTGTCATTCGTCATTTGTAAAATTCTTTTGTAAAAAAAAGCATTCTGATTTTAAGCACAAGTACTCTGAGGATGACTTCAAAAAGATGCTTGAGTTTCTGATTGACAATATATATGTGTTTTTTGAAGACCAGGTCTTCCAAAAATCTATTGGAATTCCCTTGGGTACCAATTGCGCCCCGGTATTAGCAGACATACTCTATTTTTGTATTCACATGAAGAAGAATTTGTCCAAAATCTTGTGCGTGAAAAGGAGGAAACTCTTACCTAAATTAATGATTAATTATTTGAGTAAAATAACAAGCAAATGCTAGATATTTAACCCTTTTACGGTTATAATATCTAGTACTTTATAACAGAATTTCAGAACAGCTTTGGTCTGCATGATATCGTCATCTTGGGAACGTTACATGTCGACGAAGTGCTTTTAAGTTTTCAAGTTCATTTTCATGTAAAAAGTATCTGTCATCAATCTTTGTTAATTTTTCAATACTTTATAAGTGTGACAAAATTTACACGCATTAAGGTGACTGCTTTTTATAATCTTTAGGAATACTAATATACGCGATAGTGATATTTTTACGAGCTTATTGTCTCGCGTGATTACGCGAAAATAAAGTTCTTGCGAACAAAAAGTAATAAACAGTAGTGTATTCCTCATATTATCCATGTTCTATTGCCATTTTGAGACATAAGCCTCATGGCGTTACGTTATCAAAACACAAGAGAATACTGTACCAATGAAATGAGCCTCGAGGAAGTATTTAAGATAAAAATTCCTCGGTAAACACAAGAACATTTAATATGATTCCTGTTAATCTCGTCATAGAAAATACAGGGCTACAAAGGCTTAAATAACACGGCCCCTATGTGAAGATGGATTAAATCTTGTCTTAGAGTAAAAGAAATATATTATTTTTCGATATTAACTTAAACAACAGAAGCGTTAAAATGCAGAAATTGAAAATTGATGCCATCGATAGTTAAAGCCTCATTTTACTTGCAAACTGCAGGTTGACTACACACAGATTGAGTGGATAATATAAGAGCCATAACTCTAATACTCCAATACAAATATATACATGAATTTCCAAAGTTTAGTGCTAATGCTAAATTAGCAGGGATGCTAATTTTCCCTGCCAAAACATCATTTTTATATCATGCTGAACAAGAATGAGAAGGAAAAATTGTGTTTCTTTACATCTCAGTATGAGTCAATTAAACAAATTTTGCATAACGAATTTTAAAACCTCCAAAATAATTCCCTAAATCAATAATTTTTCAGTAATTTTTCTCAATCTAATTTTGTGTAAACTTAAAAATAATTTAAAATGTACGGTTTCGGAGTTAATTTCTCTTGCTCTCGCTTACGTTTCACACTTATATAACAATTCCTCTCGAGAAATTAAGAAATACTAGACAATCTGAATTTAAAAAAGAACTCGAAAATTTACATATCTTGTGATTGGTCATAAATAAAATACCTACGTATATATAAGGGATACGGAGGTTCTTCATTGACGACATTTATAAAGTCTTCAGAGACTAAGTCCAACGACAAACTGACGGGTACTTATTGTGCCCCTTCATTAGCTGACCTTTTAAATGTATATTTCCATGAAGAAGAATTTATTGAACAAACTTTTAGTTAGAAAGAAGAAAATACTTTCGTTGCCTTCAACTAAATATTTAGTTATAATACCAACAGAATATTATCAATTAACTGTATAGTTTTTCATTCAATAGTCGACTCGATATATTCCAGTGAATTTGAAATAAAAGAAACCATACTGACTACAGAAGATAAGGGTCAAGAACTTGTAACGACTATATTGTATAACAGAGGGGATGACTTCAACTCTTTCGTCATCAACTTTCAGTATTTATGTAGAAATATTCCGCTATTACCTGCATATGGTATTTATGTCTCCGAATTAATTCGATACTCAGGAGCATGCTCGTAGTACTAATATTTTTTAAGCCGAGGAAAGCTAC